AATATCATCCCCACGATCATCAACGTGGGCTCAGGGGTGGCACTCATGGGAGTGGTGAGTACCTCTCCCCTCCCCCTGAGCCTCGGAGCACCACAGGGGGCGGGGGCACTGCCCAGGGGAGAGAGCTGTCCCAGTGCTCCAGGAGTCAGAGCTGGGGAGACCAGCGCGGCATGGGGCTGAAGAGAACTTCCTGGGATTTCACACTCCTCTGGCAGCCCCCGGTGTCAGCGCCTGCCTGGGATTCTCTTTCCAGAGCTAGAGAGGCTTCTGCCTGTGGCTTGGCAGCTGGGGGCTCTCCGGGATCCTTCGCAGCCTTGTCTCCACTTCCACTAAAATGAGGCAGATCCGGCGATATACAGGGCTTCTCAGCCATGGCCCTGTTTATATTTTGGGCCAGATAACTTTTTTTGTGGGGTGATCGTGTGTGTTGTAGAGTGTTTAACAGCATCCCCAGCCTCTCCCCATGAGTTGTCAAAAGCAACTTCCCCCACAGTTGTGCCGGCCAAAAATGTCTGCAGCCATTGCCAGACTGCCCCGAGTTGTGATTCACAGGGACTAAAAAGATGGGAGGCAGGCAAGTCGGGCTGTAGTCCTTCCTCAGATCTGTTCCGAACTTCAGCTGGGCGGAGGGGCCACAGGAGGGGAAGCAGCACTGGAGGGCAGGGAAAGGCTTATTCCTGATCTTTCATGCCCCTTTGTTTTTTTCTGGAAGTGTTTTAAAAACAAGGGAGTTATTGGTGAGTGGCTTGCATCCACCCCAGTGAGCCCCTTGTTGAGGTTCCTGGCAGCTTTGTCCCTGGTTCCTCTGCCTGGGAGGTCACTACAGCTCCCCTGGAGGCTTCTAGGAGGACCTAGGACTGACTTTTTATTGAGACCAGAAACACCATGTCCTATAACAGGACTCAACGAGGCCATGCTCCTGAGAGATGGGTCAGTGGATGAAAGTGGGCTCCAAGTGACTCCTCTTTAACTGCAGACAATATTGTTGGGGAGCCTGTGTGCACATGTAGAGAGGGGCCATGTTCGGGCTTCTTATGATGTGCATATATCAGAACATGGGGATCTGGGACATACCTGTGGAATTAACAGGAAAAGTGTTAGAGGCTGGGTGGGGGTGGGAGGAGTGTTCTCTATGGAAAAATGAATTGATAACCCTTTGACATCTGGAGGGGGAAAAAAAGGTGTGCAGTGCCCAGGGTCAGAGAACCAGGTTCACCTGTGGGACTGTCCATCAATCCTCTCCCACCCCCTCCGCTGTGCTCTGGGTGGAGTTGCCCTCTGGTGGAGGAGACAGGTATTTGCACCATCCGGTCAGGTCTGAAGAGCTCATGTTCAGGTGTCAGTAGGTCTGCTGGGTTAGCTCAGGCCTCCTCCTCTTTCCTTGACCACTGCTGTGGTGTCCTTGTTCAGATACCCTCCAATCCATGTGACTAGTAGAGGGATCTTCCCACAATGCTGCATTTCTGTGTCCTGCCCGGCTTCCCAGGCATGACAAGCTGGTTCTTTGCTGAGCTTTTTTTCCTTCTGTCTTAAATAAAATCCAATTCAGACTTAAGACTCAGCCCAGAGGACCCTCCCAGACTGAGTAAAGTTCCATCTTCTCTCTGCTTCTCTTCCCATCATGGGACAGTCGCTCATCATTAACATGCTTGTCTCCTGCACCCGTGGGGGGGGAGTCCCCCAAGGGTGTCATTGTCTTCCCTTTCTCTGCACCCCAGGGCAATGCCTGGCACTGGTGCGCGCTCAGCAAACACTTGCTGAAGATGTGGTTCCAAGAGGTCAAGGTAGTGCGGGGGTGCTTGGCCTGACAGATCAGATGGACCACAGGCTGACTGGCTGCACCGTGGGCCAGCTTTGTGGCCTTGGACAAAGGAGCCTCTGAGCTCAGCGCCCCCATCTATTGGTGTCAAGTGGCCTGGCTCACTGAGGGACCTCCACTCTTTTACAGGGGTCTTTCTTCTGTGACCTGGTACTCATCTACTTCATCAAAAAGAGCCACTTTTATCGAGACAAGAAATACGAGGAAGTGAGGTCAGTTATGCTTCCTCCCAGTGGCCCAAGGGGAGCCCACTAAGTCAGCGTTTCCCTCCATGACTCAGAACCCTGACCCTGGTTTTCTGTTGACGTTTGTGGGGCAGAGGCAGGGCTGAATGCCGAGAGCTGTCTTGGAAGGGCTGGGGAAGGTGGGATGTTCTGAGTACTGGCTCTACAGAACTGGATTCTGCTTCGGAGCAGCCAGCAGAAGAGGCGGCCACCAAAGGTCAGGGGAAGGAGACCTGGTTTCCAGGCCTCCTTGGGCCTCAGTTTCTCTGTGTGAGACAGGAGTGTTGGTTTACACAGTGTCTTCCAGCACCTGTAATTTTAGGATTCTTGGACTTGGTGGTCCTGGTGGGCTGGGGCTGAGGGAAGCTGGAGTGGCAGAAGGAAAAGTAAATGGAGCCCCCCTGCCACCCACTCCGGAGGCCTATTTCCAGGCTCCCTTGGGCAGTGGGCTCGGTGGGGTTTGTGTGTGTGTGTTCAGAAGAGTGGACGACAGTGTGAGTGGGAAGTCCTGAGGGCTGGGCGGACAGGAAGGGGCAAGGGGCTGTGGCCCAGGCCTTGGGGAAGGCTTTCTGGAGGAGTGGGATGGGAATGGGAATGCAGCTGGTGGGCTCGGGACAGGCACTGGGTGCTCCCTCAGCCCTGCCACACCCTGGGATGGGACAGGGGGCCAGCCTGCCTCCTCTGCCTGGACTGACCCCCAGCCCTGGTTCTCAAGCTGAGCCCTGAGCCCTGACTGCACCCACCACCCTGCAGAGCTGCTGGAGGAAAAGGGGCGGCCCCTGCAGGGCAAGTGGCACGCCAGTCCCAGGGAGGGGGTCACGCCCAGGGCCCACGGGCCAGGGTTAACAGGTCATGTCCTGCCCAGGGACCTAGAGGTCCTCGCCCAAATGGCAGAGTCCTCACAGCAGAGCGTGGCCCCGGACGCAGCGGGGCTGGCAGAGCAGCCAGAGGTGCAGGATGAAGGTGGCGCCCAGAAGGAGAATGGCTGTGTGTGTGGGCAGCTCCTCCAGCCTGCCAGGTGAGCGGCCGCCCAGCCAAGGGCCAGGAAGGAGGCCCGTAGAGACGGCCACCGCGCTCCCTGCTCCGGGTGACCTGGCCACAAGGCAGGGTGCCGGGGACCTCACAGAGCCCATCCAAGCTGGACTCTGGGAGGAGGGGTGCTGGTGGTTGGCGCTTTAGCTCCTCCACGATCCGTATCATCCCCCAAGACCCCCGAGTGACCACAAGCCTGTCCCAGCGCTGCAACAGTAACGTACTAACACTCACTCAGGCTTTCTCTGCTGGGCACTGCGCTGAGCCCCGTGAACTCATTTCAGCAACCTAATGAGATGGACACTAATAGTCCCTGTTTTACTAATGAGGAAAGTCAGACACAGAAAGCTCAAGTAACTTGCTTCAGTCACACGGCTAATAAATGGCAGAGTTGGGACTTGAACCTGGGCAGCATGCTCCTAGAATCCAGTCCTCCATCAGGTTACTTGACCTTACTGAGTCCTTCCTTCCTCTACTCGTCAGAGCTGCCTCCCCTGAGCCTCAGGACGCCGGTGGCTGTGTTGACAGGTGGCCTGCAGGCCGCCCTGCCCTGGAACACGGCCCTGGGCAGCCTGGCAAGGGAGGCAGCCCTGGGGCCTGCTTTGCTTCTGCCTCACTATGGCCCCTGGCCCTTTCTGGGCTCATTTACCCTTTGATCCAGGGGTGCTGGACACAGGGGCCCCTCTGGCTCAGTAAGTAGGGGTCCCTGACTCTCCTCTTGGTCAACTGTGTCAGAGGGGTTCACTGACCCGGGCTGGGTACCATCTGCCTTGAGCATTCATTCTCTGCTGACTCAGCGACTGGCAGCCTCCAGTGGGGAGTTGAGCGTGGGCAGGGGGAGAGAGAGAAGTGAGCCAGGACGAGAGGGGAGGCACGCAGGGAGAGGAGTGGGGAGAGACAGAGGGAGAGAGAGAAGTGAGCCAGGACAGAGGTGAGGCACGCAGGGAGAGGAGTGGGGAGAGACAGAGGGAGAGAGAGGTGAGCCAGGACAGAAGTGAGGCACACAGGGAGAGGAGTGGGGAGAGACAGAGGGAGAGAGAGGTGAGCCAGGACAGAGGCGAGGCACGCAGGGAGAGGAGTGGGGAGAGACAGAGGGAGAGGCCGGGGGAGCTGCCGGGCAGGCCTGTGCCAGCAGCCTTCCCACACCTCCCTGAGCTGACTGCCACTTCCTGGGTGCTCGCCTGAGCTCCTTCACGTGCGAGAGGGAAGACTGGTTGCCTTGCTGTTCTTGGCAAGCCTCAACTGTTGCTGTGGGTTGGGGGGGGGAGCGGTGCTCAGGAGGGCCCCTCACCCCAAGGAGGTTGCCACTCATTGCTGGTCCAGCTCCAGAGGCCTCAGCCCGAGCATTTCTGGTGCCTGGGCTGCAGCCAGGAATCCCGCAGACTGCGCTCTCTGCCAGCCCTCACTGCCTGCAGCGCTGCCTGCCAGAAGCTTCTGCGGGCTGAGTCTGCCTTCAGGGAGACCATCCCTGCCCTAGCCGTCCTGTGTGCCCCCACCCGCCCACACAGGTCTGGCCACCAGGGGAACGGAAAGGTGAATGTGGAGCAGCTGCAGAGCCTGCAGACCGTGGAGGCGTAGCCAGAGGCGTTGGCTGAGAGCAGATTTGGGAGCAGAATTGTCCACACCTCTGAAGTGGGAAGAGTCCCGTCGTCGTCCACATGGGACCGGGCTTCCAGGGACAGCACCTCTTCTGAACTTTGGGATCTTGCTACAAGCTTCTTGTTATGTGTGTGGGGAGGGGGGCCTCCCAGTGGGCACAGTGGCTCATGCAGAAGAGGCCCTAAAGCACATTCAGTTACCCATTCATCCATGTGGTAAACAGTTTTTGATGCCGGCTGTGGGCTGGGCCCTGTGCAAAAGATGCTTGAATGGGACACTGACCCGGCCCTCAGAGGGGAGCACTCATCTAATCCCCTTCGGAGCCGATGGACATGACAGCTGGGCCCCACACTCTGGCTTGCCTCCAGCCACTAGCTGAGACCTGCACCATAGCTCTGAAATCCTCAGAGCGAATGATGGCTCCTCAGAGAAAGACCTTGGCCAACACCCAAGCAGGCATTTGGCCTTGCCCCCAGGGCTGCAATTTAAAGGTGGCCAAGGAGGCAACTGGGAAAGGACTAAAGTGCTGGATCTGTGAGGAGGCAGCCAGCCATGAGGGGAGGAGGAGAGCCTCGAGAAGCCTGGGGACAGCATCTCATCCCGATAGGAGATGCGACTGCCTGTGTGGTTGGGCTCTTGCTGTTCTGTGGGGCTTGTGTTTCCCTGCTTGGCTTCCCTTCCTCTAAGGCCCCATCTGAAGGGATAATGAGATGATGGATGGTGCTCAATGTCAAGTGGAAACAGTTTTAAGTAAGCTGGTCCTTGACCCCCTCCCTCAGTCGCTGTAAAGCACTGCTACTCAAATGTGTGGTCCGTGGACCTGCAGCATTGACATCACCTAGGTGCTTGTTAGAAATGCAGTCTCAGGCCCCTCCCTCATCCCCCTAAATCAGAACCTGCATTTCAACAGGATTCCCAGGTGATTCGTGTGCACATGAAAGTTTGAGAAGCAGTGCTTGAGGAGATATGCAAGGCCTGGTTCTGAAAAGGCCTGCTTTGGCGGGTGGTGTCAATTTTTGGGTCACACTGACACTCAAGTTACCTTGAGACCAAGCAGATTCCCTCCTTCCCTGCCCTGTGAAAGTGACATTATGCTCAATTCATTCAAACTATTTTGAGTAGGTCATACTTAAATGATTCAAAACTTAAGAGGTACACAGGAACAGAAGTGAAAAGCTTTCTTCCACCCGTTCCCTGAGGCAACCTGTGCTACCAATTCCAAGAGGCTCACCTGTCTTGCTGAGAATCCACTGGGTTACTCAGGAAATGAACATTGAAGCCTGCAGTCAGACCAAGTCTCTGCTGTCGGATGTGATGGAATGTGCTGGGCTGAAGAGCCCCTGCGCAATGGGAAGGGCCTAGAGCTCCACCACTGTTGCTGGAACCACCAGGCAGCCAGGGCCTGCGGCGCTGTCTGTCCCTCCGCGAGCCCCGGTGCTGTCTGAGTGCCTGCCCTGCCTCCAGGGAGCATTCTCTCTGTGAGGACCCGGGCTCTCCTCTGCCCAGAGCCGGCACTTAGCCCCGTTCCGCTGGGGCCTTTGAGGAGAGGGTCAGAGGGGCGTGGTCCCCAGAACAGGACCCCTTGGAGAGCAAGCAGCTCCTCCCCCTGGGCTGCCAGGTGACCTGTCAGTAAGCCCAAACTGCTGCTCTGACAAGAAAGTGAGAAACGCAGGTGATCTGCTGTGGTGTCTCCTTCCTCTAAGGCAAACCCTTGGATTTGATAACACAGCATGTTACTTTTATGTCTGGAAGGGAGTTCAAAGGGCAGGGGTCCCAGCCACTTAGAAGTTGGTCTGGTTTCATTTAACCTGTTTTTGGAATCGCTTGGCAGCAGCCACATAATTTGCAGATAGTTGTGCTGTTTGTTTTATATTGGAATGGAAATGTCTCCCTACAGTTATTCATCCAGTCAGTAAATATTTATTGAGTACCTCTTGTGTCACGTGTTGGTCTAAATGCTGATGACAGTGGCAAGCGGCACAGAAACAGTCCCTGCTCTCAGGCGCTTAGTGTCTAGGGGTCACTCATCAGTTACAAACAGGATGGGATGCTTCGAGAGTCCTCAGTGAGGCGTGGCCAGATTTCCACAAGGAAGTGATATGTGAGTTGAAATCTGAAAGGTTAGTGGTAGTCTAACTAGGTGATGGGGAGCATCTAGGTCAGGGAACCACACACAGAAAAGACATGAGGAGGACTTACCGAGGAACTGGATGAACAGTGTGCCTGGAGCAGCTTCTGTGACGCTTTCATCAAGTGGGCGTGCATTACTTTTAAGGGTTACCCCTTTAAACCTCCTGCCATAGAGGACTTGTTTCTTCAATACAGCAAAACCTTCCTGGTGGCTTCCCCACTACATGTCAGGGGCCCCATGCACAGATGGCCCAGTGACCCCCATCAGCTTCTGGATAGTCACACATAGCCAGTTCCCTGGCTTTTGCACAATTCTCCCTCTGACACCCCCCCCACCTCTGCATAATCTTGACTCTGAAGGGGAAAGAAGAGGAGCAGGAATCTGAGCACTTTTCAAACTTGGGAAAGCCCCTTTCCCTTGGCGCAGAAAGATGACCACGCCAGCCTCTCAGGATCTGTCCATGTTAACATCTCAGTATCATAGGAATCGTCTATGGTTATGTTCAAGCCTTGGCCTAAAAGCCATCTGCCTGACAATCAGACTTATTCTTATGCCTTTGGAGTACCATGATGCTGGCCAACAGCAAAGTTTTAAATTAAGTGCTATTAGTGTGACATGATGGGGACCGGCCACTGAAAGAGCAGAGTGCCCTTTACTCCTGACTCGAGGTCATCAGGACTGATCCGTCATGGATGCTTTTCTCTGCCCCACCCCCCAACCCAACTCCATCAGTTCCTCTCTCAGTGGCTAGCTGCCCCCACCTGGGGACCAGTCATAAATGGAGACTGTGACTTCCTCCAGGTGTCTCTGAGTGCCCTGGGAAGTCCTAACATCACCCCATGTGGAAAGGCATCTTGGATGTCTGGTCTACTTGGTTCCAACCTGCCCCTCTCCTCCCCAAGTGGTACAACTTTCTTCACAGCATATTCTCCAAGGGAGCCAAGAATGCTCTCTACAAAAGACACCTTTCTTCCAGCTCTCTCCCCTTAGGCCCATTCACAGAATTAAAGCGGGGAGGATGGCAAGCACTTTCTGGGTCCTGCCCAATACATGCATTCTCTGACATTTTAATTTGGCTATAAGACAATAAAAAGGTGTTAACTTTAAATGTACTTTTTATCTTTCATATTTTCACAGACATCCCATGTTTTAGAGGAAAACATAAAGACATGACCAAAAGAGGCAGACACAAGAAACACTTAGTGAGCAACATATTACCTTCCTTACTGTCTTTGCAAAGAAATTAAAATTAAAGTACGGAAACTTTTAAATGTGCTAACATTAAAGGACCAGGAAAGCACTGATAAAACTGGTACTTAGCATTTAGAATCAGGTTTTTAGCTTCTGCTCTAGTAGATTAAACTCCCTCAAAATGATATAGACATGCACTTTAATTTTTTTATAAAAGTGAGCATCTCAATCTTCCTGCCCAGCAATAGAGGAAAGGTTAAGTAAATCAGATCACTGATTTACTCACCAGTAGGACTCACTCTGCTTCCCCCTTACTCGGTGTCAAGATCGACCCCCCACTGAGAGTTCAGAGGTGGTCACTGGGAGATGCAGGCAAAGCTATCGCCTCAGTCACTTCTTAACTTCACGTGAAAGCATCTGGTACAGAACCCAAATGGGATTCAGGAGGCCTGGGCCTCCGCTGTTGGTCACAGGCCACCTATTATCTGTAAAAGGGGACGTGGCTTCAAGTTTTCAGATCCCCTTCTGATAAAAAACTGATTCTTAAAGTCCCAATCTGATCACATCACTTCTAACTAAAACTTTCAAAGGCTCCCCCTTCATATGTTAGTATAAAGGTCAAACTGTAATTGAGCAAGACCCTATGTGGCCTTCCCAGGACAGACTGTCCTCTACCTGCCTCCTGTCTGTAGAAGCTTCTGCCTCTGAGCCTTCCCTGAGTTCCAAAGAATTAATTTAATCAGAGAAGTGAGAAAATGCAGAAAGAAATGAAAACCGTCAAGGAAGACAAAATAACAATAGTTAGGCCAATGATAACTAAGTCCAGGACCTTCAGATCCTTCCCAGGGGCTATAGATAATATTTTGAGCCATGTTTTTCGAGCTGTTTAGCAGATACTGGAACCCTCACCAGGGGGAAGTTAACTGCATGCTGCCCACAAGCACGCAGACCCCAGATGGGTTAGAACCATTTGGTTGATGGTGTCGACTCCTGGTCACTTCAAGAGCAACCAATCAGAACAATGTCCTCAAGTTAATTACACACCCTGAAACCCTCTCCTTCACCCTTATCTCAAAAAAACCTCTCCCTGAAAGCTGAAAGTTTTAGGCCTTTTGAGCACTAGCTGCCTGGTCTCCTTGCTTCTTGCCTGTGATAAAACACTGCTACCTGGTGTCAGCAGATTAGCTGTATTGTGCACAGGTGGACCCAAGTTTGGTTTGAAAGCAGAACTCCCCACTGTGGCCTACCTCATAGCCTCTTAACTTCAGACCCAGGGCAAAGTCCTTCCTTCCCAATCGCCCTCACACATGCACTTTCTTGCACGTAACCCCCTTCTTCACAGTTTTGAGTCTCAATTGTAATGCTATTTCTTAAAGGAAGCTACCCAATCCCCCCCCCAACCCCCAATCTGGACTAGGTTTGGGGCTCCTCTGTATTCTCGTCATAGTTCTTATCATAATCTATTTGTGATATCAGGTAGCAGTCCTGGTGAGTACAGTGGTAAGAGCATCCCCACCTATTGGGTGGGAGACTGGTGACGATTCCCCCACAGGGAGGCAACACACACAGTGATAAAGAATCTGCCTGCTAATGCAGGAGTCGCAAGAGACCTGGGTTCGACCCCTGCATCAGGAAGATCCCCTGGAGAAGGACAGCAACCTGCTTCACTATTCTTGTCTGGAAAATTCCATGAATAGAGGAGCCTGGTGGACCACAGCCCATGGGGTTGCAAAGAGTGGTACATGACTGAGGAACTCAGCACCTGGTAACTGAATTACAAGTGTAAATTAACAAGTGTAAAAAAGTAACAAGTGTAAAAGGTACAAGGTACAATGCCTGGCATATTTGTTGTTGCTCAGTCGGTTCTTCTGAGACCCCATGTATTGTAGCTTGACGGGCTCTTCTGTCCATGTAGGGAACACTTAATATTCACTGTTACTAGTTCTCAGGATGTTAACGGTAAGTTCTCTCCTGTTTAGGTCCTCCTATCCTCTCTCTTGGAGAAGAAAACGGCAACCCGCTCCAGTACTCTTGCTTGGAAAATCCCATGGACAGAGGAGCCTGGTAGGCTACAGTCCACAGGGTCGCAAAGAGTCGGACACGACTGAGCGACTTCACTTCGCTTCATCCTCTCTCTGGGTGGCCTATGCGTAAATGTAAGGAATCAAGACAGAAAGCTGAGGCCTAGTCCCAGTTCTCCCTCATTCTGCACCCCTGACAGCCACTGGCTATGCCACGAGGGAGGGAAAAAACGCCACAAAGGGTCTCACGCTTCATTTAATCTGAAGAACTGTACAGGCTCTTCGTCTTCAGATATAAATTATTTATAACGTTACAGAACAAGCAGCGATTCCAACAATTTAAAAACTAGGTAAATCTACCCGGTGTTAATTTCTGGCAACAGTCCTCCCGATCTGTTTTTTTAAAAAAAGTCATCCCTGCCCCCGTTTCAGTAGACGTGCACCATGCCGTAGAGAAATGTCCAGAACAGGACGTAGGTGAAAAGGCCTCCGATGAGGCCCCCTGTAAAGAGAGGTCTTCGCGATTTAAAATACTTGTTCCACCTCCTTCCCGCCTTAAGAATTAAAAGCAGGGAGAGCAAGATGGAGGCGAGCAGGTAGAAGATGAAGCCGTAGAGGCCGGTGAGGCCGAGGATGCCGGCCGTGGCCCCCGACAAAGCCGACACCGAGGTCCGGCAGTAATCCAGGACGGCGGCGTTGCCCCGCACAGCGGCCTCGCTGATGAACGGCGGCCCTTCCCGCTTGGCCACCACGGCGGCCATCGCACCCTCCCGGGCTCAGCCTGATTTCTCGTGGAGCAACGCGGGGCTGTGGAGAGAACCAAGTTACAAGTGGCGCCCAGAGCATGGCGAGTTTGGGTTCACGCCGCCCCTCCCCCTGGGGCCGCCGAGAACCAGCACCCCTAGGTCGAAAGACGCTGAGAAGGCTTAGAGCTCGGGGTGCCGGCGGTACATCTGCATTTCCCGCCCAGACTCGCTCAGTTACCTGGAACCCAGCCGCGGACGCGGTTACTCGACGTTCCCTCAGAAAGCCTCGGGTATGGATCCCCGCGACGCCATCTTGCGCTGGAGGATGCTGGGACGGCCCAGGCTGCGCAGGCGCCTGGAACGCGTGCCAGCCTTCCAACGCATGCGCAGTGGTAGCCCCGCATACGTTCCACCCGCTCCCTGATTTTCTGCGCACACGCCGTGACTTCCGAAAGCCGAACAGCGCTCCGGTCGGTGATTGGCCGGATACTTCTTAACTATTCATAAGGGGGCGGGCCTGGTTGGGCCGCCTTTGTTAACCGAGAGAGGGCGCGGCCGCGGGTATTTTCGCTGAGGGCTTCTCTAAGCTACGCTTGGCTACCAGATTGGGGTCGAGATGTCGTACGTCCCGGGCCAGCCCGTCACCGCCGTGGTGGTGAGTGCGCTCGCGCGGGCTCCTCCTCGTCTTGGCTTCCCCCCACTTTGCAGATAGGTAAACTGACACCCGAAACAGGTTGACAGAGCGTCGAGCGGGGCTCTTGCAAACTTGCAGCCAGAGCTCCGATTCCCGCTCTACCTGAGCCGGGCCGCGGTCTTCCCCAGCCCTGCAACAGAAGTGCCTGGGATCCAGAAACCTCCTGAAGAGCCAGAATCCAGGCCAGACCCCGCGTATTACCGCTGCCGCTTTGGACTTCTCTCAGCCAGCCGGGGGCAGGGAAGATTGTGGAGAAAGGTTCCGGCTGTGGAAGTCTAGGAAAGCGCCTCTTTCCTGGATCTGTGTCCCCAGCTGGGCAGCTGCGAGGGGCGGGCGCCGGCCCCGACGTCTGAGTCGCAGCCTCTGGAATGAGGAAGTGCTTCCTCCGCTCTAGCCGGCGCCGCCGCCCAGAGGGAGGCTTGGGGGTGGAGGTGGCCGGGGCCAGCGTAGCAGCCAGACCCTCACCCCTCCTGTGCAGGCTTTCCTACTCGGGCCCACCGCCGCCCGGGCCAGGATGAAGGTTCATGCAACGGGCTCGATCCTGATCGAACTTTCTCTGGATTCCCAGCCCTTGGGGCAAAGTCCAGGCCCCCTAGCTGGCATCTGGGGACTGAGGAGACCTTTTGGGGTCCGCTCAGTCCCTACTCTCCTCCCTTGGCTTGTCTCGGGTGCCAAGTACCATTAGAATAGGTAAAGGCAGGCGGGGACATTAGAGCCAGATATTAAAGCCACAGCCGAATGGGACCTGCAGGCCCCACTCTGTGGCTGAGGTGGGGAAACTGAGACCTAGAGAGAAGTCTGGCCATGCCTAGTTGTGCAAAGAAGCCCTCAGAAAGGAACCAGGTCGCTGAGAAGAAATGTCTTCTGGGCAGGGAACGGGTTGGGTGGAAGTCCCCAACCCTGGGGCCTGGGACTGGCTGCAGTATTTCAGATGGCTGTGCTGGTGACTCCTGTAGTCAGGTGGTGTGACCAGGGAGCCACTGATAGAGCTGACATTTGAGGGTGAGCTTAGAGCACCAGCTCCAGCCTGGACTGGACCTGTTGACAGCAGTCCTCAGCTTCACCTTGGCTGCACCAGCCTGCTTTTCCCAGCTCTCTAGCTGCCCTAAAGAGAAGGGGTCAAGTTTGCTCCTTAGTTGGCAAAAAAAAAAAAAAAAAATGGGTGCAGGTGGGGAACCAGAGATGGGCAGTAACCTGCCTGACCTCGCCCAGCAAATCAGTGACAGTACCTTATCTCCTAGTCTTAGAGCCTGTACTTTTTTCTGAACTTGGAGTGTGTCAAAGGTGTGCAAAGGTGTTTGTCAGAGGAGGTGGAGGCGGGCCCGGAGGAGTGCACACGTTTGGGCACGGAGGACGTAGGTCTAGTGGGCTGCAGGTGTCACGCTTCCTACAACCCCTCTCTCACATATCATGGCTGGTCCCTGGGCCTTCCTCAAAGCTTTAGGACCTTGACCTTCCAATTCTTCTCATACTAGGAACATGTCTGAACACAGTGGGTGGGGTCTGGCCTCTCCCTCTGGTGTCTTGGATCGAGGATGGGGTGGAAGAAGCTCCTCCCTACCCCGTGCCCTCTCCCATGTAGTGAACATTTTGGCTTCTCCTCTGAACTCTGGCTTCGTAGGCTGGTCTGCTTTCTGGACCCCTGCCTGGAGCGCTCCTGGCTCTCCAGTTCAACATGCTCCTACCCCTCTGGGGTCCCCATCTGGGAGGTGGTTGTGTTCAGCCAGGCCAGGTGGCCGGCCCGGTGCTTCCCTTGATGCTTTTCTGCCACAAGTAGTCTGGAGTCTGTTTTTTCATTTTATTTTAAATTTGGCTGTGCCTGGTCTTAGTTGTAACATGTGGGCACTTGACCTGCAGGATCTAGTTTCCTGACCAGGTATCAAACCTGGACCCCCTGCATTGAGAGTGAGGAGTTTTAACCACTGGGCCACCAGCGAAGTCCCTGGAATCTGTGGATCTCACTTAGTGGCTCATGTCCCCTGGCCTCCATATCCCACCTTGGTGAGACATCTATTCCCCTTCTGCCTGAGTGGTCGTTCTAGCATCAAATCTGACTACGATCTACCATCACCCAGCCCTCCCCAACTCCTAAGAGCTCCAGTGGGCCCAGAATCAAGATCAGGTGGCCAAACTCCTGGTCAGTCCCAAGGCCTGGTGCAAATGGTACCTCCCTCGTGAAGCCCTCTGGTCCATATCCAGTCACCTTTTGCTTTGGCTTTTTTCTCTTTCTGTTAAGACTCAACTTTGGAGGTGGGGCTGTCTGGTTTGGCTCCCAGCATCTGGTGACCGGAGGTGCCTGCTGAGGACTTTGAAAGAAACTTGGCACAGATGGGAACTCCCAACCTTAGAGAATGGTGGGAGAGCTCTAGATCCCTCCTCTGCCTCCTGCACTGCACAAGTCAGGGCCTGAGGCTTAGGGAGGTGCCCCCTCCCTCCTGTCCTCCTCAGCCTTCTTGATCTGGGCTCAGCCTCATTTCACCTCCCAGTTCCGGTCCTGCACTGTACACTCTGGTCTCGTGGACATGTATCCACAGCACCTTCAAGCCTCTGCTCCTGTTCCTTTGGCCAGGACAACCCTTCCTCCTTTCTGTGCAAGTCCAGTCTCTGCTTTTCCCGAGCATCTCCTGGCTTGCCCTGGACAGGGCTGGCTCAGCAATCTGAACTGGCTCAGGCAGGTGCCTGCATTTTTTTTTCAGGGCCTGACCACTTGTGCCCTGTGTGGTCCCTCCCTTAGGACACAGGAGCCCATCCAGAGCAGCCACAGCAGCCTGGCTTTTGGGCCAGAAGGGGCTTAACATGTGTGAGGAAGGCTGGTACCTGAGGCAGAGGAAGCTGGGAGAGGTTAGGACGGAGGGTTGTGGGGGTGGACTGGTGTGTCTGAGTTCTGAGTCTCAACCCCCCGGCCTCCCAGCCTGGTGACCAGCTAGATTCCTGCAAGAGGCCCTGGGTCCTGCCCTCAGGGCATGGCTCTGAGCCTACCCAGCCGCCTGAGGGTGTTGCAGGGGTCACAGACCCCATTTGCTCTCCATACCCACTCATCCCCAACGCATTTTTTTCATCTTTGCCAGCAAAGAGTTGAAATTCACAAGCTGCGTCAAGGTGAGAACTTAATTCTGGGCTTCAGCATTGGAGGTGGAATTGACCAGGATCCCTCCCAGAACCCTTTCTCAGAAGATAAGACGGACAAGGTGAGCTGGACTAGGATCTGGGGACCTCTCTGTGGGGCACAGAGGCCTGAGACAGTCGGCTCTTTGCTTCCTGGGCCTTTGTGGAAGGAGCAGACCTCATCTCTCTCAAATGGTCCTCTCTTAAGAAGGTCCAAGAAAAAAAAAAGGAAGGTCCAAGAAATGATCTGGTGGGAGTAAGTAGGGGTGGGGTGGGGGAGAGTGGGCCTCCCAGCACTAGGAAGGCCTGCTCAGACGGAGCCCAGGTGGCCAGCAGGGGTTGGAGTGTCTGTGGGGCTGTCCTACTTCCCCCTTGGCTGTCTTAGGACGGGCTGGGTGTGGGATAGATGGCTAGGAGTATGCTCTGCTGGGCTTTGCTCTATGGCTGGGAGGCCAGTCCACTGACCCCAGGGATTGACGTGGGCTGCCTTTTCCCAGGGCATTTACGTCACACGGGTATCCGAAGGAGGCCCTGCGGAAATTGCTGGGCTGCAGATCGGGGACAAGATCATGCAGGTAACCAGTGTCCCGAAGGAGGAAAACAAGGCTTGGGCTGGAAGGTGTAAAGCCCTCGGGGGTGGTCGGGCTGCCCCTGCCTACCACCCTGGGCACCTGGGAGACGCACCGAAGCCTGTGCTGAATCCCTCTTGTGTGTGTGTGCACGTGCCCAGCCCAGGGACATCAGCTTGGGTGACCCAGGGCCCCCAAAGCCCGTCCTGTTTTCAGATCCCAGAAGGCAGTGGCCTGAAGTGGGCTGTGTTCTCTCCCTGGGCCAGGTGAACGGCTGGGACATGACCATGGTCACACACGACCAGGCCCGGAAGCGGCTCACCAAGCGCTCGGAGGAGGTGGTGCGTCTGCTGGTGACGCGGCAGTCGCTGCAGAAGGCCGTGCAGCAGTCCATGCTCTCCTAGCAGATGCCAGGCTCCCTGACTCGAGCCTGGCCGCCCTTTGTACAGTGACACCACTTCCATGCTCTGTCTGTCTCTCGTCCTGCCTTCTGCTCATTGCTGGATCCCTGCTCAGAAGGGCAAGAGCGGATCCCTGGCCCGGCCTGATCCCCTCTCCCACCACTGGCCCAAGGCTCTGGGACCATCTCTTCCCCTTGGATGCTGAGGACTGGTAACAGGGCCTGGAGCCGAGTCACAGTCAGTCTGCAGTGACCAGTCTCGGCCCTCAGCCCCTGCTGCCTGGCCACAGTAGTGCCCAGGCCGTCAGGGGCCCCACTTCCTGGTAGCACCTCGTAGCTGAGACGCACAGGGCTTGGCCCTGCCCCCGTTTCTCAGCTCCACAGTGTCTGTGCCCCATGCTTTCCCCTGCATTCCTTAGAGGGGACTCGATTCACTGCCAGAGACACTACGAAGGTCTGCCTGGATGGAAGCCACGCAGGCTCATAAGTCACCCCATTTCACCCCCACTCCCCAAGGGGCGCTGGCCTCCCCCAGGGTTCACCTGCTTACAGGATTTAGACAAGGGTAACATTTTAGGGCAGTTTTCAGGATTGCCATTTTTCTCTATGCCTGTGGGTTTAACTTTTATATTTTTTTAATCACAGCTTTGATACAAAGTGTTTTTTATCTCACTCTTTGGAGGTGCCAGTTCAACTTTGGAATTTAAGCTTACTAATTCACACGTGGGAGCTACTCTTAGTGAGGGCACTGGCCTGACTTTGGTTACTGTGGAAATGGGGCAGTGGGAAGCTGCCCTGCATCCTGTGCCCAATAAACAGTGCTGGAATTCATTCATCAGGGGTCTTTGCTGAGACAGGGGGGAGGGATACTTGGTGAACTATCTATTCCCAAACCCACTGATGCTGTACTGGGCCAGGGCTGCTCTGTGGGAATGTCTGAGAGTCCCTTCACTGGAACTGGAGCAGGGAGACCCCCACTACCCTTGTGTAACCTAGCCTCAGCTCTCATTGGGAACGGGCCTCATGGATACCAAGGGCAGACACGTATCCCATAAGACATTAGAGAACTCATTTTATCCATGCCAGGGACACAGGCTGTGGTTTGATGGGATGGGAGTGAGCTGGGGGGCACTGTGCCCTCTGCCTGGCCCAGGACTAGTTGCAATACTGGCTCTGGGAGTTGCCGCCACTCATGGACCCACCTAGCCCAGGCAAGTCAGATTTTTGCAATCTCCCATCTTTAAAGTGTGTTACCCAACCACATGCTGGGTGGCCCAAATAAATCATGCATGTGGGCTTGGTCAGGCTGCACTTTCTGCTTTAGAGAAACAAGTTCCTAAATTCCTTGATACTTAGTATGGCAGGCTAGAGGAAGAATCTGGAAGATTTACCACCCCCTCCCCTGCCCCTTCTCCCACATACCCTTAAAGAACGCATCCAGCCCTTGCTTACGGCCACACAGCCAGACTGCCACGCCCTTGGTCATGCAGATGGTCCCTCTGGGACCAGCCTGGCCCTGAGCATCCAACAGTGCCGCCCAGCAGGGCTCCCCTGGTGACACATGGGGTTGGCACACAGCCATTTCGGGATTGGTGAACTTTGAAATGCCATGCGTTTCCGTACAGTGGAATGACTGAGGCCGTCTCCCTGAGCCCTAAGGACTTGGTTCAGAAGCCAACACACCTGCCTCCTGCATCTGGCAAATGCTCAGTGTGCAGAGAGGAAACGAAGCAGATTTAATTGAGGACAGAAGCCCCTTGTTCATCTCATGGATCGACAAGCTCGAGGCATGGACAAGGCACATCCACCTCCCCTGCTGCCACAGGCAGGACGACTGCTTGGGGTGGGAAGGGAGAGGCTCTGGGGTCAGGCGGGGCCCACAAGGAGTGTGTGAGGTGGTCTCAAGTCCTTTGAGGCTCTGGAACAGCCACAAGTTGGTGAGTCTCAGGTTGGAGTCTGGGAAAGTGAGGGAAGGGGGCTGCTCTCACCACTTGGCAGGTCTAATATGCCTCTAAGGCACAGACTGGTGTGTGTGTATGTGTGTATGTGTGTGTCCTGTCCTCCAAACAGGTAAGGGGCGGGTGTGGGGCCCGAATATGGGAAAGTGGAGGTAGGCAGAGGCAGAAGAAAGTAAGCCACTCACTTCCAAAGCATCCCTCTGAAAAATTCCAAATGGCTCGTTAGTGTGATAAAGATCCGGAGAGAGCTGGATGTGAGCTCGATTCCGAACCAATCTGTTGGGCACCTCAAGGTTTGGAAATACTGGTTCTTTACAAGAGCCTGGCTGGGGCCACCTGGATGTAGGATGAGTGTCCACACAGTGAGTGCTCAGAGAACGCAGCCTTCAGAGGAGGCGCCCCAAGGCCTAACCCCAAAATCCTTGCCCCTCTGCCAACAACACCAGCATCTCCGGGTCTATCGGGCACAACACCTGGCTGCTCTGTCTCTGAACACAGCAGTGGCAGCAAGGCTCCCTTGACTCTCCCAGCTGCCAGGTCAGTCCTTCAAGCCGCTCCCAGAAACACTGGTAGCTTGGGCGGTGGGGCAAGGCCTTCAACTCCAAGCTCAGTGCTCAGTCCTGCCTGGGACGGCTGCCAGAAGCCCTGTGTGCTGCCTGAAGCCTTAAAGAAAACAGAGATGCAGCATCAAGATGCAGGAGGGCCAGGCGCCTGACCGGAAAGGCCCGGGGCAAAAGACCTCTGGGGAGACCAGGAGGGGCTGCCAGCTGTTAATCTCTGCACACAGTCAAGGTGCCTATCCCAGAGGGAGGGTCCTCCCTGGCCTGGGAGAGTCCAGGATGAAGGCAGGCTGGTTCAAGTTTAAGGCATCTGGCCCTGAGGAAGAGAGTGCTTCTCCGCACGGAGCCAGCCCAGCTCTCCAGACAGCTTCTCCAGCCTTCCTGATGGAAACTTCCCCACCAGGGCCTGGGCCTGGGCTCTTTCCACTGGTTCCCGGGGAGCTAGTTCAGCTGGTCATACCCTGGTTTCTTTCTGTACAAGCAGAAGTGCTGGATGAAGAAGACAACATCGAAGATGATGGAGAAGATGCCGAGGCCAAATTTGGTTGGGTCTCCGAAGATCAGTGTCCACTGGTCTGTAAACAGCCAGAGGGGATGGGATGGGTTGTGGTTTTAGGTTGGCTGCTGCTCAAACAGCACGCGGGGCTCCATGGTGGAGCGGGGGTTCCTTCCTCTGCCCAGGAAACCACAAATCCTCTAGCTGCCAAATCCCCTAGGCAAGGGACTTCCCTGGTGGTCAGTCCAGTGATTAAGAAACCTTCCAATGCAGGGAATGTGGGTTCAACCCCTGGTTAGGGAACTAAGATCACACACCATGCCATGTGCTCAGTTGTGACTCTCCTGCGACACCATGGACTGCAGTCTGCCAGGCTCCTCTGTCCATGGGATTTCCCAGGCAAGAATACTGGAGTGGGTGGCCATTTCCTCCTCCAGGGGATCATCCCCACCCCAGTGGTCAAACCCAGGTCTCCTACAGTGCAGGCTGATATTTTATCATTGCCGCACCTGGGAAGGCCATGAACAGACAGCCAAGTAAATTTAGAAATGCCCCCTCGGTGAACCTCACCCAGGGGCCTGGGACTGGCTAGAATTCCAGAGTGGGGGAGCGGTGGTTCCCAGGAAGCCCCGCCCCCACTGCCCTGCACCTCCAGCCATCCAGGTGGGCAGCAGCCTGCTGGCTGACTTACCGTTGTTGTAGGACTGCAGGAACATCTGGAGGAGGCTGAAGCTGCCCCCAGTGAAGTCCAGAAGCACGTTGCCAATGCTCCAGCCCTCGGTGCTTTTGTAGTGAAAGTTCATGTAGGCCTGGGCCAAACAGACAGAGGGCAGTGAGGGGGCTGAGCGGCGGCCTCCTGCACTGTGTGACTATGTCCAAACAAGAGCGGCTCTCATGCCTCCCACTCCTCTGTTTGGACCTCAGCCCCGAAAACACAATGACCTTTGGTTTCGGAGCTGCGGGCACAGTCTGGGCAGGTCCTGGAGTCTCCTCTGTAAGCCAAGCAAACCGAGCTCTCCTCCTCTCCCCCTCCCAAACTCCCCACTCCAGCCAGGGGGATGGGGGGAGGGAGGGGGTGTGTGTGGATGCTTTCTCTCCATCTTCATCCTACTGTATATCCTGGCTTTCAGGCAACTCTGATTTGTTTCTTCTCACCTTCAAATGGAGATTCTCCCCAAACTCAGCCTGGACTTCATGTTGGGCTTATGAACACAGCCTGGGAGGTCCGATGACCTAGTTTGGAATCCCAGCTCCACCATGGGAGCTGTGTTACCTTGGGAGAGTGACCTGAATTCTAGCCTTAGTTTTCCCACCTATAGCATGGACTTCACTCCTTCCCCAGCCCTGCTGAGGCTCTAGGGCCTCCACCTTGGGCTTCGCAGGTCCAGTCCACTTGGACATCACTCCTTCCAGGTCTTCTCCCAGCAGCCACCTGTCAGGCCCCCTTCTTGGCCTCTCCCACTAACCTTCATGCTTGCTGCCACCTCTCCAGTCCTGGATGGTCCCAGACATCTCCAACTCAGGCTCCTGCCTCCCAGGTTTCCCAGGCCCAAGCCTTCCCACACTCAGGACTGAGGCCCTACTTCCCCTAGGCCCTTCCCCTACTCTGAAGCCTCCTTCCCAAGCCCCCTGGGCCCCAATCCCACCTTCCTAGCTTCACACTGCTCCACCAGCAAGGCCTCCTCCGACAGTGCCTTTGTGCAGAATGCACTGGCCCGGAGCGGCCCCTCTCCCCGGCCCATGGAACTGAGTCCTGCTGATCCTTAAGGGTATGGCTCTGTTTCCATGCCCTCCAGGGGACTGGCCCTGACTCTGGCCAAAATGATCTCCTTCTTGAACCTTCTGGAACAAAAGGTTCCCTGTGCTGGGGAAGTGGGTTAAATGAGGCCCCAGATTCATGAGTAGAGCCTGTGGCTGTCAGTTCTTTCATACCTGAACTGGTCCTAGGCCATTCTGGCTGTGGCGGAAGCTGTGTGTGACTCTCAGTCCCCGACTCTGAGTAGGATTGTCTTGAGCACTCGAGGGAGGGTGTGAGGGCCCACAGGGAGGACCCTGGGTGCTGGGGGGCTGCCTCCTCCCAGCTCATCTCCCCAGTATCCTGCTGTGGCTTGTCAGGGACATCAGTTGATGGTCATGGGCAGCGGTGGTAGGGTGGCGGGCAAGATTGAAGTCATTAGAAAGGTGGCAAAGGAGAGAGATGAGAGTGATCTACATGACCCCTGACTCTCAGAGCTGAGTGTGTCAGAGAAGTGCCACCAACTTCCCCATGGGATTCCTGGGCCTGGGAAAGAGCAGGCAGAGGTCACGGCTGGCTTGGTGTGATGTCCCACTCCTGCTGGGCTCGCTGGCCGCCTCCTAGTAGCTTTCCAACCTATATCTCCTCGCCCCAGTCAGAAGCTGCCCCCAAGAGATCTGTGTCCCTCTCATGCTAACAGCGGGCAGACCTCGGAGGTACCTGTGGAAAATACTTGACCAGCGTCACTGCCAGCTTGATGTAGGAGAAGCAGAAGAGAAACTGCAGCCAGGTGGTTGCCCCGACCGCAGCCATGATCAGGGCGATGAGCGTGAAGAGCCAGGAGAGGACCAGGAAGCTGATGGCTGGCCAGGACACACGCTGGTTGCCTCGCTGGGGATCAGAAGCAGGGAGGGAGGGAAGGGAGGGATATGGGTGGGGTGGGGGTGGGGTGTGGAGAGCCCAGTACCACCCACACCTTGTCACTATCAGAGCCTCTGGTTCCATCCCTCTTGGACTTAGCAGAGCCCTTTTGCTTCTTGTTCACACGCTGCAGAACTGGGTCCCTCTCAGAACCTACCAACAGTGAGGGATGCAAGGACCTGGCCCCCATCACGTTGGAGGCTTGGCACTTCACCCCAGCCCAGGCTCCTTCAGCCACCCGAGGGAGCCTGCTCAACTCTGGAACCTCTCCCCCACCTGTGTACCATTCCCCAAAGCAGGCCTCCCTCATATAACTTTCTCAGCAAAGGGTAAAAAAATCCAGAAGGTTCGTGAAGTTCGGGGCCGAGCAACCCTGGCTGACCTTGCAGGTGGGAAGAGAACTCCCCAGGGGAAGTGGTCTACCCACAGGGCAGCGAAAGAGAACAGTGACATCAACGATGCCCTGAAACACACACTAACACTGTCCTTCCCTGCTGAGACAGTGGATGGTGGTCCTCCAGCGACATAGCTGTGCCCGGGCTCCCAGCTCGGTACTCCAGGCTCCCCCTCCTGCTCCTTCCACGGCCATCCCGGCCACACCCACCTGCTCACGGCTCCTCTAGCTGCACCCTGGGCTTCACAGGTCTGTCCCCCTGCAGGGCTGGTCCACCCTGGCCCTCTTCCCCGTCACCACGGAACATTATTCATCCCATGGACCACAATTCAGCGCCCTCTGTCCCCCTCCTCCCTGCTGAGTCATGGGTCCCACAAACTGCCCGTGTTCTCCCTGCCTGCTCAGCTCTCAGCCTGCTGGGTCGTCACTGCCTCCCTCTGTGTCGCTCACCGCAGACCTGGGGGCGCCCGAGGGTTTGGGCTCACAGGGCCTAGCATGGGGTCTGGTCTATGACCCAGGAAGCAGATGTGAGTGGACGAACACATTTCCCTTCTGGGGGCTTCCGTGTCGTGTGGAAAAGGGCAGGTGGGGGCCCGGGCGGCACAGGCTGCAGCAGGGGCCAGGGGCGCGGCTCACCTCATACAGGAGGCATTGCGCTATGACGACCAGGGTGAGGGCGACCGCGTGCAGGCTGAAGAAGACGTCATTACTGTCCACGGGGTTCACACCGTTGGGGTATTTGAGGAGAAACTGCTCCTGGGTGGGGGTGGGGAGAAGCTGGGGGGTGAGGGGCAGCTTGGCCACCAGCCAGCTTGGTGAGGCTGCGGGGGCGGGCAGGGCTGTACCTTGATGGAGGATACCCAGAAGAGGCCGATGTTGAACACGCTGTAGGCCACGAACCCCATCAGGTTGAGGGCCACAAAGTCGAAGCTCAGACCCACGACACTAGGGGAGAGGGGTGGGGAGACAAAGCAGGGTCGGGGGTGAGACTGGGGGCCGCTGGGCCCTGGAGGGCACAGAGCTCCCAGCACCTCGGGAGGAGGGCCTGGCTCCCCAAGGAGAGCACAGTCCTCAGTCCTTCTCCACGCCCACCCCATGCCATCTGACCCCTTCCTCCTCCTGGGACTGTCTGGAGGCCTCCTGCAGAGACTAAGTGCCTCCCACCCTGGCTCCCAGCTCAGCAGCCCCTCAGAGGCCCATGTGCCTTGTTGGCCTCATGCCTGAAGCCTGGGTCTTTAAAATCAAGGTGGGTCAACTTTCTTCTCCAACCAGACACGAACTCCCCCAGGGCTGCAGGGACCAGGAGCACAGCAGCTGTGGGTGAACCCCCCTACCTAGCCCCTTCTCCATCTCAACTGAGAAGCCCCATTTGATTGCTTTCAGAGAGTGGGGCTGAACTGGGCAAGAGACCAAATGCCCAGCACTGCAGCTCTTACATGGGCTCTTAGAACTTTCACATCAGACCCCTTTGAAGAAAGGGCAGGGGTGCTCGCTTCGGCAGCACATATACTAATGAGAGAACAGCATCGAAACATGTATATTATCAAGTGTGAAACAGATTGCCAGTCCAGGTTGGATGCATGAGACAAATGCTCGGGCTGGAGCACTGAGATGACCCAGAGGGATGGGGTGGGGAGGGAGATGGAAGGGGGGTTCAGGATGGGGAACACATGTAAATCCATGGCTGATTCATGTCAATGTATGGCAAAAACCACTACAATACTGTAAAGTAATTAGCCTCCAATTAATAAAAATAAATGGAAAAAAAAAAAAAAGGCAGGGGCTTCCCTGGTAGTACAGTGGATGAGGATCTGCCGGCCAATACAGGGGACATGGATTCAATCCCTGGTCCAGGAAGATTCCACATGCCAAGGAGCGACTAAGCTCATGTGCCACAACTGCTGAAGACAGTTCTAGAGCCTGTGCTCAGCAACATGAGAAGCCTGAGCACTAAAACAGAGTAGCTCCCACTTGTCGCAAATAGAGAGAAGCCCATGTGCAGCAACAAAGACCCAGTGCAGCCAAAATAAATAAAATAAAATAAAAAAGTTGGGGGTGGGTAGGAAGACAGAAGAGCAGAGGGATAGGTCGGAACCCAGGCTGCCTACAGCTTCGTTGGAATGCTCCTCCTACTGGCCCCAGGTGAACCTGCTTGTAAAGCTCCGTGGGTTACCTTTTCCGCCTCCAGTTGGTGATCACCTGAGGGTAGAAGGAGACTGACCAGGCCACAAAGTAGATCCAGCCGATCACCTGGTTGATGATGCTGACGACGTTGCTGTGGATCACCAAGAAGCGTATCCTTGGGCTAGAGAGGACGTGGGGACCGGGATGAGCTGGGGCTGGGTGTCTGGAGGAAAGCCCTCGCGCCGGCACTGGCTCCCTTCTCATCCTTTAGGGCCCACGCCGGCGGAGGCCAACCTACCTGGTCTGGTTGGAGTGATTTCCATGAAGATAAGCGGTAACTTGTCCAACACTTTGAGACGTCACGCGAAAAGAGGTATTTGTCGTTCTGGGAGGCACCACGACCTGTTAGAAAACTGAATCAGGTCCAGAGCCCCGTAGTTATTGGGACCTTAGTGAACGTCTAGCTCCAAGCTATTCGCTAGGGAATGGAGGGACAGGTCACACAAGCCCCCGCCTTCTAGGAGCTTCCTAACAGGAAGGAGAAATATTGGGCCAATCAGCTAACCGGAATTCCCCCTACTCCAGTGTTAGACTTTATGAGCAGAAGGGCCCTCCCCTGGCTTATTTCTGAGGGAAGGTGGGAGGGCTCTCTTCCTCTCACTAGATATTTTATTTTGGACAAGTTATTTGAGCTCTGATCTCAGTTTGCTCATCTGTAAAAGGGAATAACACAAAAGTCTACCTTACAGGGTTGCTCTGAATGACGTGATGTCCATAAAGCTTATGGCACTGACTCAGCAAGTGGTGAACTGTTTACCATCACTACTACCCTATGATGACTGCTATTAACTCGACTTCCTTTACTGTGGATGGCTTTTCCAGATCCACAGAGAGATGTTTGCCCCACACCCAGCCTGGCTGCCAAGAGACAAACCAGAAGAGGTGCAACACATCAGACACTGCAGGGAGAACACCTTTACTCTCATTTCTGTCCAGTCTTCATCAAAAGCTCTGCTCGGCCTGCCTGTAGTATCTGACCTCCCCATCATGCCTCCTGCTGCTCTCGAATTCTCAGTGAGGCAGCGAGCGGGATGAGACTTTCACTGGCTCACACTGTCCCCCTGCTCCCATCTCTCTGTTCCCTGGATTGTGCCCGGGCCCCACCTTCCACCCATGTCGTGGGCACCATGATGTGGCTCACTGCGTTGCAGTGGCTTCTTCAGGGACCCTTGAACATATCTTTCAGCTCGTAACCCCTGAAATCAGGGGGCTTTGGTAGGACAATTGAAATGATGCAAGTGGCTGCTGCAAAGCCTGGGATCCAATTTGTGGCCAGTGTGTTGTGAGCTTCATTTTCACAAAGCTACTGCTCTTGGCTCTTTTATTTTCCTATCTTCATCAATTCTTACTTGTAGCAGGTTTTGCTGGCAACATAGTTTGTCTGTTTCTAAGTGGCCACCAAGTCCCTTCTGGAACTAGGCATCTGCCTGTATCTGATCATGTGTCAATGCTGTTGGCTTGCTCAGGGGCTCAGAGCAGATTTGCAGCCCATTTCTACAACCACTCAGTGCCTCCTGCTGAGCCTGAGGGCTACATTCCTGTGTTTATCTTCTTTCCTGTGTTTATCTCTCATCTGTTTTTTTTCCCCTCCCTACTGATTTTTTTTTCTTTAAATTAAGTTGACTGGTAATTGGCTCAAATCCTCCCTAAGGTGGAAGCAGTGTTTATTAAAAGATTAATGTATAAAGGCTATAAAAAGTTATTATTATTATGCCAGACAGCCTCTGGCACTGGTTTTTCCAGGCACTCTACCAATGGAATCCCAGAAGAGAGCTTTGCAAACTTTAATGTGGACTCAAATCACCTGGGGACTCTTACTCATATGCAGATTTTTAATCAGTAGGTCTGTGATGGGGCATTTCTAAAAGGTTTTAAGGGGGAAAGATAGATTAGGAGCCTGGGATTAACATATACACAGTATTGTATTATATATAAAATATATAACCAACCAGGGCCTACTGTATAACACAGGGAACTATATTAAATATTTTGTAATAACCTATAAGGGAAAAGGATCTGAAAAAGAATATATATAAGAGAATATATCTTCGTGTGTATATATAACAATCACTTTGCTGTACATATACCTGAAACTAACACAACACTGTAAATCAACTATACTTCCATTAAAAATAAAATTAAAAAAAAGTCTTAGGGCAGAGACAATGCTGCTGATCCATGGATGCTCTCTGAGGAGCAAAGTCTTAAAAAAAACCATCTTAAGAATTTCTTCTACATTCTCAGAATCATTTCTGCCTCATATTTTTTACCATCATCTTAATAATTCCATCTTGATAGCATAAAACATCCATTGTCAAAGAGACTAACAAAGCCCCAAATCAGAGATTTCTAGAACAACAGGTCAGGGGCAGCCACTGGTATAAAAACAATGTGGCCTACTTCCACAAGCACTTAGTCAAAATGTGGTTTGTTATCTAGTCATTTTCTACCCATTCTGTTAAGATTCATTACTTACTTCATCAGGGAGCTGAAGGATAGTAACGTTTTTTGAACGAAATGTGATTTCAAAAGTGATCACCAAGGTTGCATTTAAAGGGCACCTGTGGGGGACAAGAATCTGGTTACTGCTGAGAAGCTGGACTCCTTGAGGTCTCAACCCGCCCTCTGGATTTTGTGGTGGGCCTGGCATATCTCAGGCAATTAGGGTGACTTAGGGCTATGTGCTTAGCCCTGGGGGCTTGAGAGGTGGGGTCCCTTTGCCCAAGTGAGAACACAGCTAATGGGAAATAGTCTGTGAATGTCACATGAGGTGTTCAGAGGCCGACAGGACCATGGCATTTGCTCTCCTGGGAAAGACTTCCGAGAAGGGCCAGGCAGCGTCCCCAGAAAGTGGTGAGACATGTCTGAGTGGGAACAGCCTGTGGGGCTTAAGTCTGGGTTTAGAGGCCTGGAGTTAATCTGGAAAGGGGTGGGAAGCTGCTCAAGGATTCTGTGCTAAGGAGGACGATGTGTTGTATTTACAAGGTGTCAGTGTGCAGAAGTGGCAGCATCTGGGGATGGGATGCAGGTCTGTTAGGACGCTTTGGTCCCAAAGCTCTGGTTTAAGATCAGACATCCTAGGAGAGGTGAGGAAAAGGGAGAAGGGTAAAGAGGGAAAAAAACCCAAAAAACTAGGGTTCCAGATCTTCATCTCGGGGCATCCTCATGGCTGGGAGGCACAAGCTGGGGAAAGCAGGGAAGGGTAAGGAGGAGGTGGGTTCTCTGGCACAATCTGGACTAGGTGGGCACCCTTGTGCGGGAACCAGCAGAGCGCAGCTGGAAAGACTCTCAGATAAGGCTGACTGGGAGCACTGCACAGTGGGATCCACCCAAGGGAGCTGGATGTCATCTCAGAAAGTGCTGCCAAGTGACTCAGCTCCTTCTCCCAACCTCCAGTCAGTCAGTCAGTCAATTCAGTCACTCAGTCATGTCCGACTCTTTGAGACCCCATGGACTGCAGCATACCAGGCCTCCCTGTCCATCACCAACTCCCGGAGTTTACTCAAACTCATGTTCATCGAGTAGGTGATGCCATCCAACCATCTCATCCTCTGTCGTCCCCTTCTCCTCCCACCTTCAATCTTTCCCAGCATCAGTGTCTTTTATAATGAGTCAGTTCTTCACATCAGGTGGCCAAAGTACTGGAGTTTCAGCTTCAGCATCAGTCCTTCCAAAGAATATTCAGGACTGATTTCCTTTAGGATTGATTGGTTGGATCTCCTTGCAATCCAAGGGACTCTCAAGAGTTTTCTCCAACACCACAGTTCAAAAGCATCAGTTCTTTGGTGCTCAGCTTTCTTTATAGTTCAACTCTCACATCCATACATGACTACTGGAAAAACAATAGCTTTGACTAGATGGACCTTTGTTTGCAAAGTAATGCCTATGCTTTTTAATGTGCTGTCTAGGTTGGTCATAGTTTTTCTTCCAAGGAGCAAGCATCTTTTAATTTCATGGCTGCAGATGGTGACCATCTGCAGTGATTTTGGAGCCCAAGAAAATAAAGTCTGTCACTGTTTCTATTGTTTCCCCATCTATTTGCCATGAAGTGATGGGACTGAATACCACGATCTTCATTTTCTGAATGTTGAGTTTTAAGCCAACTTTTTCACTCTCCTCTTTCATTTTATCAAGAGGCCCTATAATTCTTCTTCACTTTCTACCATAAGGGTGGTGTCATTTGCATATCTGAGGTTACTTCTCCCGGCAATCTTGATCCCAGCTTGTGCTTCATCCAACCTGGCATTTTGCATGATGTACTTTGCATATAAGTTAAATAAGCAGGGTGACAATATACAGCCTTGACATACTCCTTTCCCGATTTGGAGCCAGTCTGTTGCTCCATGTCCAGTTCTAACTGTTGCTTCCTGACCTCCAGATTTCTCAGGAGGCAGGTCAGGTGGTCTGGTATTTCCATCTCTTTAAGAATTTTTCAGAGTTTGTTGTGATCCACACAGTCAAAGGTTTTGGCATAGTCAATAAAGCAGAAGTAGATGTTTTTCTGGAACTCTCTTGCTTTTTCAGGGATCCAACAGATGTTGGCAACTTGATCTCTGGATCCTCTGCCTTTTCTAAATCCAGCCTGAACATCTGGAAGTTCAAGGTTCACATACTGTTGAAGCCTGTCTTGGAGAATTTTGAGCATTGCTTTGCTAGTGGTGTGAGATGAGTGTAATTGTGCAGCAGTTTGAACATTCTTTGGCATTGCCTTTCTTTGGGATTGGAATGAAAACTGACCTTTTCCAGTCCTGTGGCCACTGCTGAATTTTCCAGATTTGCTGGCATATTGAGTGCAGCACTTTCACAGCATCATCTTTTAGGATTTGAAATAGCTCAACTGGAATTCCATCACCTCCACTAGCAATCTTCAGGACTCTCTTCAAATATTTAAAGCCTTGCAAAGGACCACTTTGAAGTCCAGCATCAACTACTGGTCACTCAAGGAGCTAATAAAAAGGCTCATGTGTCTTCCCCCTCCCACCAGAAACAAGGTTTCATCAGTTGTTGAGGGGGAGAGAGACCTTGGGACCTCGATCTGCAGCCCAGGGCCACTGTCTGTCTTTCTCTGGCTTGTCTTAATGTGAAGAGGTAAGGGCATCACACTTCAAATATGAATATAGTGAGCAGGGGTCAGCCCTGACCCAGCTGTGGGGCAAAAGCGCTGGGCTGAGGACAGAGCTGGGCCTGAGAAACTTACGGGAGGGAGATGCTGACGCTGGTGGAGCTTCCATTTTCCAGCTTCACGATGGGAGGTACAGAGAAGTCAACTGTTGACTCTGAAACAACCCAAATCAGTAACATGAGTCATTATGACTGTGAGCTCAGGCCCACAAGACACTGGGAGGAGGGGCCCTGACACTTGAACTTATGCTTCATAACCACCTCTATCCCCTAGGTGAAGACTCCTGAGGTTCTAAGAAGCTAAGTATGTGACTGGCCAGGAAATGCCCTCTTTATGCACTTTCTCCTCCTGCTGCCAGAGACAGAGGGAGACACAGGCCTGACCAGGAGATGCTGAAGCTTATTCCTCCCCCACAGATGAGCTCTAATGGTCTGCAGGAGTCACCCAGAAATAGAAACCATGGAGCCCAAAAATTGGTCACAAAGGAATTCAGCCACAATCTGGGACTAGAACACGTGGGCTTAAACCACCTCTTCAGATGGAAAGCACAAGGGTTTCCTCTGTTCGTGGAGCTAAAACGACCCTGCAGAACCAGTCCTGCCCCTTCCTGTAGTTTCAGAGAGACACCTGTGGCCCAGTTAACTTGTTTCTAAAGAACTGCCTTTGGTTCCCTGTAAAAGCCCAGCTCACCCCATTCACTGATCCCCTTCTGGAGGCTGGCCCTGCTGGGGACTTGGGGGAGACTGATGAACAAACAGGGTTTCACTACCGGAGATTTCTTCTTGGCATTAAGATGTTAACTCAGGAGGAGGCAGACAGACAGGCCTCTGGGGTGAAGGAGGAAGTAGGTTTGGGAGGCCAAACACTTCAGGGCAATTTGGGCACAGGAGTTAACCGTCTTTTGGACTCTTCCTGGGTTCTCCGGGCAGCACCGCCCCATCCCTGCCCCCACCGCAGGTGTGTCTACTTCACTTCCCTCACCTGGGGGGCTTCAGGGTGACTCACAGCCTAAGGTGTGATCGTGAATCTAGACTGGGCCGGGAAGGGGGCCCACAGGGCAAAGCAGGTGTTCCATTTGATGAATATGGTTCCTTCCGGGGGCCGTGGCTGCAGGTGAGGCCCAGGTCTTCCCCTCCCCAGACCCCTCAAAGGCAGAAGATGAAGAAATGAAATTTTAGATGCTCAGGTTGGGAAGGAATTTAAAAGTTCCCTAATTTGACCTCCACTGTCTGAGCTCCTTCTCAATACTCCTTCCTGGCAGTTTCTCTTCCTCTGGCTGGACACATGGGCCAGTGGCAGAGTCGGGGAGGGAGATGGGGAAGAGGCAGGGAAAAGGAAGAGTAAACTCATCTCCCACAAGGGAACTGGCCAGCCTGAAACTCACACTCTGGGGCCTGGCTCTGGGCCCTCTCAGACTCTACTTGAGCCACCTTCTCCCTGCCAGTCCCACATGTGGATGCAGATACAGGCTCTGTCCTCAAAGGACATCTTTTAGCCCAAGATGGGAGGCAGTTAGGAAGCTGGCATCATATAGAATCCTAGAAAAGCACGTTTTAGAGTCTGCCCCGGGGCAGGAGGCTCTGGATACCACATTGAAATAATTAAGTGAGACTCCCCGAAGCTCCTCCAAGAGCCTTTGCTTTTTAAAAAGGAATCCTCGTTGGCACCTCTCCCACTCCACACCAGCCACTGCCGCTCTCTAATTACACCAGTGAGAGGTGGGCAACGTGACGCCTACTGCAGACAGAAGAAAACAGAGAATCCCAAGGGGGGATTCTGTGTGTCGTGTCCACACAGCTCAGAAATGGTAGATGCAGGATGCAAACCTAGGGCGCCTTCCGGTCCAGGGCTCAGGTCCTTGCCAGTAGGTGGCAGCACTTCGAGATTCCGCCCACAGCCGGCAGGGGCGAAAAACACCGCCGGTGAGTGAGCTCACCGTAGGTCCTCCCTGCTGCTCAGTCACTCAGTCCAGTCTGACTCTTTGCAGCCTCAGGGACTGCAGCACGCCAGGCTTCCCTGGCCTTCACCATCTCCTGGAGTTTGCTCAAAATCATGTCCACTGAGTCAATGATGCCGTCCAGCCATCTTATCCTGTCGCCCCCTTCTCCTGCCCTCAATCTTCCCCAGCATCAGTCTTTTCCATTGAGTCAGCTTCCTGACTACTCCCCAAAGCAAAGACAGGCAGGGCAGAATGAAGTCAGAAACCCAATTCTAGCTCCTTGATTTTATGGTGGTTTCTGACTTTCCCCTTATGACATTTAGGAAAAAAGACTCAGTGACACAATGCAGCAGGGGTCCCAGTCTCATTACCTTGTGGCTGTGTGACTTTGGGAGAGACTTCTACCCTCTCTGGGCCTGTTAGCCCTCTGTATAATCTAGTAGCAGCAGCTGAATTTTTTCTTCTTTCTGAGGGCAATGAATTAGCATGACTAATGGAACTTTATTTAAAGCAAGCCAATGTGCATGCGTGCACACTTTTGGGCCTTAGTCCCAGAGAATATGACCCAGCAGGTCTGGAGTTGGGTCTCTGGCATCCGTACTGAAGAGCACCGGGCTCCACGGTGTTCTTTCTTTCTTGGAAGAAACCTCTTCTTTCTCGGAAATTGCTTCCCCACAAGCAATTCCCCACAAGTCACACCTTCCCCACAAGGTGTGACTGCAAAGTAACATGACTGATTGTTTAACAAACCTGGAAGAGCTGATCAGATGACCAGTGTTTGCTCAGAGACTCAAGAGCCCAAATGACTAGCAGTGGAACCACTGTGCGTAGCTCTTGGCAAGCTTCGGCAAGGGTTTGCAGTTTGTGCAAGGTTAATTTGGAAACTTTGGTTGGGGGTTTTAAAATGTATTTGATTTTTTTTTTTTTTTGGCCACACTGTGAAGCTCATGGGATCTTAGTTCTCCAGCTGGGTACTGAACCCAGGCACCTGGCTATGAAAGCATGGAGTCCTAACCACCAGGGAACTCCCAAGATGTACTTTTAAAAAATTATTTTCATTTATTTTTTGGCCTCATTGAGTGGCATGCAGCATCTTAGTTCCCCAACCAGAGATCGAACCCATGCCCCCTGTAATGGAACTGTGGATTCTTAACCACTGAGCTGCCAGGGAAGTCCCTGTATTTGATTTTTGACAACAGCCAGATGATCAAAATAATGGGTCTGGTGTCCTTGGAGGCTTTACACAGCTTTCACGGAAAGAATTTCAGCAATGTTTGGGCAATAGAAAATTGATGGTATGATACAAGCCTTTAAAGGGCCCTGCCCTGAAGGTCACGCCTCACAAGGATACACAAACCCTGATATGTTTTCCAACAACCAGCCCAGATTCTGTAAGGCCCCTAGCCCTGCTGAGCCCAGTTCCTCTGTCCTTCTCTAAGGGAAGGGCTCTGTAATCTTACCAGGGGATGCGGGGCAGGCTCCTTAGGTGTTTTTACTGGCAGAACCGGGTAACAAGGTGGCCACCTCAGCTGCTTCTGCAGCATCTCCCAGGACCCATAAGTCCCTCTGTGAGGTCCATGGGGTGGAACACAAGCTCTTCTCTACAGACATTATTCCAGATTTTTGGAGCTCCACAGTTTGACATTGGTGACACAGAAAAGGGAAGAGGGCCCCCAGGGCAGAAGGTGAATTATCTGTGAACCATCTGGCTCCCTGTAAAACTCCTGGACTCCAGACCTTGGTCTGTTCTACTACCTGGGTGGCCACCCAGCCAAGGGACAGGTGGACACATACTGTCTGGATGATCCTAAACCTTTGGCTGCAAACAATTAAGGAGGCTACTTCCTCCATTTCCCTCACAGCTGATAACCCATTTCTAGACTTACCACATTTCTCTATGAGCTGCAGGGGGAAAAGGATAAAAATAACCAGCCACCTCCTTATCATGTTCCTCGATTTCAATGAACTAGGAAGAAACACAAAGAGCAAGAGAAGTTCAGGTTAAAGTTGGATCTGCCTAGCAACAAGTGGACAATAAGCCACCTGTCACCATGCATGGACAGTTCATAAAGGACTTTCACTTCACACCTGTGACCTCACAGGCTTTGCATCACCAGCTTGGAGAAGAGGACCCCAGAGAGGCTCTGTCTTTCTTTGATATGTGGGGAAATGGGCTCTGAGAGGCTCAGTGGGTTGTGTAAGGCCCTACCCTGAGGAAGTGGACAAATGCTGAATTTTTCCCTCTTCAACTGTTTTGTGTAACCTAGACAACAGAAAGAAACATGCAGCCGTATTGCCTGGGGGTTCTTTTATTTTTCAGAAGATATTAAAACTGTAGTCAGATATTTGACTCCATGAACCTATAAACTTTAAGGAAAATTTTTTTTATTTAAATAGCTTTATTTATTTATTTTTGGCTGTGCTGGGACTTCACTGCTAGTTGCAGTGAGTGGGAGCTACTCTCTTGTTGCGGGGTGCGGGCTTCTCATTGTGGTGGCTTTCCTTGTTGTGGAGAACAGATTCTAGGGTGAGGGGGCTTTGGTAGTTGCACCATGTGGGCTCAACAGTTTCAATTCTTGGGCTCTCGAGCACAGGCTCAACAGGCACCAATAGCTATGGTGCATGTTGCTCTGCAGCATGTGGGGTCTTCCCGGATCAGGGATCGAACCCCCGTCTCCTGCATTGGCAGGCGAATTCTTTACCACTGAGCCCCCAGGGAAGCCCCAAACCTTAAGGAAATTAACTTTATTTCCTGTCCTGGGAGAAGCGTCTATAGGTTAGTGCCACCAACAGACCCTTGATTAGGACTTTTTCATTTGACAGGTGTCACTTTTCTGGGACCGGCAGGGATCACTGACAAAGGGGACCTGGTGTGGAACAAACCCCAGATCAGTCCTGGAACAGTTTATTGGTTAAGTGAAGGAGATGGGTTGCTGTGTACCCATAAGCCCCACGCATGAGAGGTGAACCAAAGGTCAAGATGGGGCAGATCAGCGTAAATATCCATAACTTGGTTTCTACATGCTGCTTCAGTGTACAGAAGCTTTCCCACCTTCCACACCCGTCTCCCCACTCTCTGGCCTCCTCTGGGTGCCTTGTCCTTGGCCCTGTATCCCCATGCTCCCTGCTCCTCTGCTTTCTGTACCCTGACCTGCAGGAAACTGCTCTCTGGTCTATGTGGAATGACCCCCCCGGCCAACCTCTTCTTGCCACTTTTTGCTCTCCACACCTGCTGATGTCCTCAAGCTCAGGGTTTAGTCTGTTTCCCAGGGCAGATTCTGGGTTTTCTTTGAGGACTCAGACGTGCAGAATCAGGCCTAACTGGCTCCTCCTTCATTCCACAGGAGTGGAATGTAGACTGAGGACCTCAAACTCTTGGAAAACAAAAGTTCCTTGCTCCCAAAGGCTGACACATGTGGGAGGAAAGACATCAGGAGAGAGAGAGACCTTGAGAGATATGTTTGATTAAAATGTTTGAAAAAGATCAAGTTAATAATTACACAAAAACTAGTGTCTTCCAAATGCTACACAGTAGAAATGGAGAGTCTCATCATGATAGGCTCTGTGTGACATGCCGCTCTTCCTATGTGAGTTCTATATTCCAGGCCTCCCCCAGATGCCACCTGCTTCAAGAAGTCTCCCACTCCCAATCCCCTCCCCGGGGCTCCCTGGGGCCAAGGGTCTCCTGAGGCAGCTCCACTTGGGCAGGTATCTGGTTAATCCTGTCACCTGTTCCACCATCTTGAACTCCCTAGATCGTCTTCTCTTGGAGAATACAGAGAGTGGCAAGGAATGTATGTCCTGAAGAGTGACTGCACAGGTTTGAAGCCGAGATCCCCATTTATTAGTTGGGCTACTTTGGGGCATTACTTGACCTCCTCAAGCTCCAATTTCCTAAAGTGAAAACGGACAGTGGAAACTAAATCACAGGATGTAGATGAAAAATGAAGCACAATTTGTGGCCCCTTCATGCATGCACGCGCTTTCTCAGCTGTGTCTGACTCTTTGCCACCCCCATGGACTGTCTGCAGCCCGCCTGGCTCTTCTGTCCATGGGATTTCCCAGGCAAGAATACTGGAGTGGGTTGCCATTTCCTCCTCCAGGGGATCTTCCCCACCCAGGGACTGAACCCACATTTCCTGCATCTCCTGCATTGGCAGGTGGATTCTTTACCACCAGCCACCTGGGAAGTCCATAGCCCTTTTATAAGCAGTATTAACAATTTCAAGAGGGAGAGGCTGGTAAGAAAAAACGGTTGAGAAACAATGCTCTAAAGGATTGATAAATACAACCCTTGTCGAGGGCACTTAGCAAGCTCTCACAAGGCCTACGTTGTTATTTTCCTCAATATTGTTGAAAGAGGCAGGGCCCAGTATAGTCCTCGCTTCCTCCAGACTGAAAGCCCCGGAGAGCGGAGTCGGGTTTCGTTAGCCCCACTCGCCTTGGAACCCAGGCCGGTGCTCAGCACCTCAAAAAAGAGTTCCTGAAGTGGTCTGTTCTCTCAGTGTCTCCCCTCTGGAAAGTCATCTGCAAACTCTGCCACCGGATTCAAGCGACAACTAAGCAGAAGGCGGGGAAGGGGCGCTAACCTGCACTGGAACGGAGCCTCCCAAACCACCTTGGCAGCCCGGTGTCCCCTGCCTCCGCTCGTTACTACCAGCGCCCTTCAACCCGGGGGCTGTCCGGTGCCGAGAGGCCGGGACTGGTGGGCGGTGAAGGAACCCTGGCGCGGCTGAGGGAGGCTGGATGCGCGGCAGGCTGCCCAGTCGACTTGCTGTGTCTCTGGACCTCAGGGGGTCCGCCTGGGAAATGAGGCGGGGAAGGCGAGGGAGGCTGTCGGGGCCGCGTCGGCTCTCACCTGAGGTCCTCTAGGGTCAGGTCACTCATCAGATAGAACGCGGCAGTCTTCTCTGACTGTACCCGCTTCCCGGGGCCGACTTGACATACTGTGGGGGCTGGCCAGAAGTCACCTGACCCGAGCCGCCTGATTCGCGGACTACGGGCTTCGGCGCGATGCGACCTGGGAGCTGTAGTTTCCCCGGTTCGCAGTGAGACACCTGGGGGTTGGTAAGGAGCGGAGGGGCTCAGGCTACTTGGCAGGGTATATGGGAGGGCTAAGTCACTGTAAGGGCCACAGGGGCTCTCAAATCTTCTAGGGCCTGTCCGCGAACTCCGAGATACTTTGGAGAGCGAAGCCGAAGCCTCGGCCAACATTGCACACCCTGCCTTGCGGGGCGGGGCCTCTAGGTCCCGTCTTCCCCGCGGCTCCGCCAATAACTGGGGCCCTTCTCGCGGAGTGCACGGAACTCCGCCCTCCTCAACCAATGGGAAGGCGAGAATTCTGTGTGTTGGGCGTGGCTGGAAAGATTGGGAGGCGAGGGCCCGCCTCGGCGCCTAGGTCCAGGGTGAAGGGTGCTGGCGCGGACGCTGTCATGGCTGCACGATCTGTCACTCTCGGCATCGACCTGGGCACCACGTCTGTGAAGGCGGCCCTGGTGGAGGCCGCGCCCGGCGACCCTTCTGGGTTCGTGGTACTGGCGAGCTGTGCTCGGGCTGCGCGGGCCGAGACGGCGGCCCAGAACGCGGCGGCGGGGCCCCAGGTGAGGCAGCTCCCTGGGGCCGCGCCGCCTCCAGGAGCCTCCGGACACCCTCTCCCTCCTCGATGAAGTCTCCCTGACTGCTCCAGCTTGCCTGTATTTCTGCCTGTCTGATCTCTGCCTGCCTGATGCAACTCCCTCGATTCGATAGCTCTCTTCCCAGGAGCTTTCCCACCTGCTGGCACTGATCTGCCCACTCTGGGGCCTTCTTTGGGAGCCTTGCCCTCGGCGCTAGATCCCCGTGCTCTCTGCCCTTCACCTTCTGTACCCTGACCTGTGGGAAAATTGCTCTCCTGCATATGGAGTGATCGCAGGCCGCCTTCTCATTCTTGTGGCTCTCTGCTCCTCACATCTGCCCGGTGTCCTCAAATTCAGGATTCAGTTTGTTTCCTAGGGCAGTGTCTCTCTTTTCCTTGAGAAATCAGATGCAAAACCAGGTGTAACCTGCCCCTGTCTCATCCCACAGGTATAGATTGTGGGTGGAGGAACTCAAACATTTGGCTAGCAAAAGTCCCTTGACCCCAAAGACTGAGAGAGCTTGGAGGAAAGACATTAGGACAGGTCAACATTGAGAAGTTCAGATTGATATTTCTACACAAAAACTAGTGTCTTGTGAAAGCTACGAGATAGAAATTGAGGATTTCACTACAGCAGGCTCAGTTGTAAGAGGTGGGTTCAGAAAGGATGTTAATCCTCAGAGATGGAGTCCATTAATTCCCTGAAAAAGGTAGCTCAATGTTCAATTTATTGATAATAGAAATTAATATCAAGGAACTTTCTTTGTAACCTCATGACTTTCTGGATCTCTGCTTGTTCTTATAATTGAAATAGATAACCTCTATGGCCACTTCCGGCCACAAACCTCGATTTTTCTGAGCCAAACTCCATTCCCAAGAACTTTGTTTTTCACAAGCTCTTGCTACATAACTGGGTTCAGTTCTTTAGGGTTCACACTCCATCTTTTTTTTTTTTTTGGCTGCACTTTGCATCATGTTGGATCTTAGTTCTCCAACCAGGGATCAAACCCAGGCCCTCCTCAGTGAAAGCATAGAGTTCTAACCACAGGGCTGCCAGGAAAGTCCCCAGAGTCCATCTTGCTCAGAAGCACTTCAGAGGATAAAGATTTCAGGAGCACATTTTCACAGTCTTTCAAAATTAGTTTGGTTGGAGCATCAGGATATTTTAGAATCGTTATCTCACTTCATGGACCTTGACATGGAGGCAACATCAGCTTGGACCCTGTCAGTGTGAGCAGCAGAGCCACGATTCCAGGAAGTGGGTTTTAGGCAGTGCCCTTTTTCTCTTGAGATAGTGCCACTTCTTGGCTGTAGACACAGGGCCACATTCCCCCCTTCCTCCAGTGTTCAGCATGCTGTTCTCTGTTTATAGGCACACCAGTGCTCCACACCTGCCTAAGGAGGGGTTTAGGAGATGTTCATAACAGCCCCCTCCCTTGCATCCTCCACATGTGTGTTGTGCTCTGGGACAAACAGCACTATTGTAATTTCACCTGGAGCAGGATTTCTCAACTTTGGCACTGTTGATACTTGATGGCTGGATGATTCTTTGTTGTGAGGGGCTGTCCTGTATGTTGTAGGTTGTTTAATAGCATCCCTGGCCTCTAACCCATTGCATGCTGGTAGAACCCCCCCTCCCCAGTTGCAATACCCCCAAATATCTCCATATTGCCAAATGCCCTCAGGGGACAAAAATCACCCCTGGAGTAAGAATTACTGACCTATAGAAATACCTGATGGTTCTGTTCCATCCTCCTGTCCACATTTCTCACTCTTTAGAAGCATTGTGTACTTCATGGCCAAATTTGGCAACTATGTGGAAGGTCAGACTTTTAGCTCTTTGCAAATTTAAAATAGCAGGATTTTTGAGGGAAACTCTGTCTACCCCCTTTTCTTTGGCTGTGCTGCACGGCTTGTAGGATCTTAGTCCCCAGACCAGGGATCAAACCCAGGCCCACGGCAGTAAAAGTGCCGAGTCCTAACCTCTGAATTGCCAGGAAATTCCCTCTGAACCCCTTTCTGTGCTATTAATTTTTCCTTTCTGGGCCTCCATTTCCCCATCTGTAAAAGGAGTGGGGAGAAGGAGGGTTGAATGAGTTCTTAAGCTCTTTTTTTCCAATCTGAAGTTCTAGGATTTGATCTGGATTTAGACGTGATATCCGAACCAAGGAATGGGGACAGCACCTGTCTTGTTACACTGTGGGCGTACCCATTGTCTGTCCAAGAATTACTCCTCCGTCACACTCACCACTAAAACTTGCTGTACACTGACTGCTTCCTTGTCTTCACTCCATCCAGCCTATTCCCCTCCTCCACTGTCCCCATCCACACAGCTCACCCACTTTGGGCCATGTAGAGAACAGCTTCTCTGTTCTGGGTTCATAGGGAACTGACGGCCATGTGGGAACTCTGTAAACCATCACTGTCCAATGATGAAATGTGAGCCTCATGTAGTTTTCAATTTTCTGGCAGCCACGTTAAAAAAACAGTAAAAAGGAACCCTGAAATTAATTTTCATTGCCTATTTTATTTAACCCAATGTATCCAAATGTATCATTTCAATATGTAATAGTATGAAATTATTAATGAGAGATTGTGCTTTATTTTTTTCTTGCTAAATCTGAAATCTGGTGTGTAGTTTTCGATGTGGACTAGCCTCGTGTGGCTAATCACTGCTTGGTTGGACAGGGCAGGTGTAAACAAATGTCTCTTCCCTGCTTCCTTCTTCCTTTGCCTGCTGTCTTAGTTCTTCTCTCCTGGGGGATCATGCTCATCTATGCAGCTCCTCTCTGTCCAGTCAGTTCTCCTGTAGTCTCTTCTGCATAGAGTCTTGTTAGGAGACTTCCCTGGCAGTTCAGTGGTTAAGACTCCAGGCTTCCATTGCAGGAGGCACGGGTTCGATCTCTGGTCCTAGAAATAAGATCCCCCATACTGAGTTCAGTTCAGTTCAGTTGCTCAGTCATGTCCAACTCTTTGCGACTCCATGGACTGCAGCATGCCAGGCTTCCCTGTCCATCACCAACTCACAGAACTTGCTCAAACTCATGTTCATTGAGTTGGTGATGCCATCCAGCCATCTCACTCTCTTTCGTCCCCTTCTCCTGCCTTCAATCTTTCCCAGCATCAGGGTCTTTTCTAAGGAGTCAGTTCTTTGAATCATGTGACCAAAGTATTGGAGTTTCAGCTTCAGCATCAGTCCTTCCAATGAATATTCAGAATTGATTTTCTTTAGGATTGACTAGTTAATTGACCACACCATGCTGAGTGGCTTGGTCCAAAAAAAGAGCCTTGTTAGGATGTGGGGCTGCCTCCTCAAGAAAATGCTCTGTTCTCCCTGCTCATTCTTTTCCCCATCCTACCCCTCCTCACCTTCCTTCTTTCTAATCCTTTGGTCATATCTGTTTGGAGCCAAGAACTGCCACAGCCCAAGGCCAGCTGACAGATGAAGCGTTTGCTTCAAGGAGGGGAGGCCTGCACTGCCCCTGGAGCAAATTCTGGCCCTTAGCACATTTAGGAAATGCCTGCCTGAATGTGATCAGAAGCAACCACTAGCGCCTGTTGTCAGTGCTTTAGACCAGGAAGCCTTTCTTCTCTTTCTTTTTGAAAATAAGTTACAAGTGCTTTTATTTCAAAAATTTTTATTTATTTATTTGTCTGCACCAGGTCTTGGTTGTGGCTTGAGAGATCTTCAGTTGTAGCATGCAAACTCTTAGCTGTGGCAAATGTGATAGAGCTCCTTGACTAGATCTAGAACCTGAGCCCCTGGCACTGGGAGCTCGGAGTCTTAGCCACTGGAGCACCAGGGAAGTCCCTAGGAAACATCTCTTGTCTATGTCTTTCCTGCTGTGTTCCATCCTTTTCCTAGCCCAGCATTCTATGTACCTTGCCTTATTTCTCCTTGCAGCACATCTTTCTTGTGTTTTCCTGTCCTGTTGGACTATAGGGCTTCCCTGGTAGCTCAGCCGGTAAAGAATCCACCTGCAATGCTGGAGATCCCAGTTCGATTCCTGGGTCCAGAAGACCCCCTGAAGAAGGGATAGGCTACCGACTCCAGTGTTCTTGGGCTTCTCTGGTGGCTCAGTTGGTAAAGAATCCACCTGCGATGCCGGAGACCTGGGTTCTGGGAGTGACCTCAGGGGAATTAGCTAGGCAGCCCCCACCTAGGAAGCCCCTGCCGCCTCTGCCCTCGTCTCCTCCCTTGTGTGCCTCTGCCCAGCCTGTCCTATTCTGTTCCCAGGGGCGAGAACAGGATGTGAGGAGAATCATCCAGGCCCTCCACGAGTGTCTCGCTGCCCTTCCCCGGGAGCAGCTCCGGAAGGTCTGTGGCATCGGCGTGTCAGGGCAGATGCATGGAGTCATGTTTTGGAAAACAGGCCAAGGTATGCTGGGCTTAGGGGCAATCATGTTCTGTTAACAGTCACCCTGTGGGTGTGGGTTCTATCCCTGTTCTGGGACTAAGATCCCACATGCCTCCAGGACAAAAAAAACCCCAGTGTTAAACAGAAGCAATATTGTAACAAGTTCAATGTTGTTGTTGTTTAGTTGCTCAGTCATGTCCAACTCTTTTGCAACCCCATGGACTGTAGCCTGCCAGGCTCCTCTGTCCATGGAATTCTCCAGGTAAGTATTCCGGAGTGGGTAGCCATTTCCTCCTCCAGGGGATCTTCCCAACCCAGGGATCGAACCTGCGTCTCCTGCATTACAGGCAGATTGTCACTGAACCACCAGGGAAGCCCTATAAAGATTTTAATAATGGTCCACATTGAAACAAAACAAAGCAAAATCAGTCACCCTGTGATCTTCGATGGCCTCAGCCTCTGGCATGGCTTAAAGCAGGAATTTGGTTCCCTGGCCAGAGACTGAAGTCAGTGAGGCAGTGAGAGAGCTGAATCCTAGCCCCTAGACCCATAGCCCGTGACAAGGCGCTGGCCTGTCAGCTTTGTAGAAGGGAGTATCCCCAAAGATACAAAACGCAGTGAAACAAGTAAATTGCTTGTTAGGAGGAAAAAGGGTATGTGTGGATAGATGCACGGGTGGGCTCAGGGAAAGAGTTGTGCCCCCGAGGTAGTTTGAATCACTTATGTGGGGCATTTCTTCTGGGTTTCCTCTGGCTGCTAATCATCTTGCTTTGCCATGTTTAGTTTATCTCAGGGTCCTCTCCTGTGTGTGTGCGCATCTCTTAGCCAAGATGCATTCTAGGGAAGAGGCCTATGGGAAGATTGACATCACCTACTATGGGGTGGCACTCCCTCCCTTTTTGACCCCCGAGGAGCCTTTTTACGCATGTGTAACTGGGAATGTCTCCTTGACCTCAAGAACAAGAAATATATGGTCTCTCTCTTTCTTTTTTGGCTACAAGGCATGTGGGGTTGTGGGATCTTAGTTCCCAGACCTCAGTTCCCATCAATCAAACCCATGCCCCCTGCATTGGAAGTATGGAGTCTGAACCACTGGATTGTCAGGGACGTCTCGGTCTCTTATTAATCTTTTATCTGAACAGGGTGCAACTCCCCTTCGCTCCTGCTATTATCTTCATCTTGGAGTGTCTGTCCACAGGGGACAAACTCCAGCTGCTCAGCCTGGGGCTCATCTATCTTCTGCCTCACCAGGAACCAGAAACGTGCCGCCAAAGACTCTCTGTGAAGGGTCAGGCTGTCCTCTTGGGTTTTGTGAGCATCCTGTCCTGTTCAAAGATGTAATAAAGTGAACTTTCCACTCACACATTATACATGAACAGGGAGAGGGTGAAGAGTGAATCCTTTCTGATTCTCTGTTGGATTCAGTCGAGAGGATTTTTCATAGCTTTCTCTTTCTTTGTACGGGTATCTTGGAACATCAGTGCCGACACCAAGAGATTAGTATAGCTTCAGATGTCAAGACACAGAGGAAACTTTTCTGCATTTGAGCATAGTTTTTGTTGTTTAACATCATCACAGACATTCATGAATTTTCAGTTCCATGTCCTTTTAATGGGCACTGTTGCTAAGCATTATTTAATTGGTTATTTATTTCAGAAGTTCTGCCACAGTATAGATGTGGGTGGCTTGTTCTCTTTGGCCTCCAGGAGGGGAATTAAGCCAGAAAAACAGCAATGAGCACTTTGCCTGCCAGGTGCAGAGGTAAGGGTGTTACCTGTGTGATCTCATCGAATTTTCCCAACACCCTTATGACGTAGGTGATATTATTGTCCCTCTTGAGCAGATGAGAAGTGGAGGCTCAGAGAGATTATAAAATAATATGCTCAGGGTCATATGACAGCAAGTGGTGACTCCAGCTTTCAAACCCAAGTCTGTCTGACTTCAGACACTGAACTTTGAAAGGTCTCTGGGAAGACCAGAGCCACAGAAGGATACACTAGCTCAACGAAGGGAGGAACAGCCCAACAGAATGTCCAAGGAAGGAAGGATCATGCTCCTGTAGGAAGTGGTGAGCTTCTGTTATGGCAAATATGAAAAAACTTTCTTAAAAATTCTAAAATGTTTGGGGCTTCCCTGGTGGCTCAGTGGTAAAGAATCCACCTGCCAATGCAGAAGACACGGTTTTGATCCCTGGTCTGGGAAGATCCCGTATGCTGCCCAACAATTAAACCTGTGCACCCCAACTACTGAGCCTGTGCTTTAGAGCCTGGAGGCTCCAACTTCTGAGCCCACTCCCCTAGAGCCTGTGCTTCTGCAACAAGAGAAGCCACCCCAACGAGAAGCCCACACACTGCATTGAAGAGTAACCCCCGCTCTCTGCACCTGGAGAAAAGCCCGTGAAGTAGTGGGTAGCCTTTCCCTTCTCCAGGGAATCTCCCCAACCCAGAAATTGAACCAGGGTATCCTGCATTGCAGGCAGATTCTTTACCAACTGAGCTATCAGGGAAGCCTCGATGAAGACCCAGCACAGCCATAAATAAACAAATAAAATTATATATATACATGTATATATATAAAAGTTCTACATAGACATAAAAGTAGGGAGAACAGTGTTGTTATGAACCAACACACACCCATCACCCAGCTTCAAAAATATCAACATTTTACTGCAGGTGTGTTAAGCAGAGGATGATGGCTACTGGGGGAGGGGTTGTAGTTAAGGAGATCTGAACATGGGATTCACCCCTCCTTTGCCTGGAGAATCAGCATTTCTGATTCCCCTAGGCCAAGTGAGTGGCGACCTGCTTTTGAGCAGCTTGACGGGGGTCTGGTGATGCGGCCTTTGATCAGTCCCCAGGATGGGCCTGGGTAAGTGCAGAAGCCAGCCCAGGCTCTCCCCCTCCTCTTCTCCCATTGTCTGCCCATCGTCAGACCAGCAGGGACCACGGGATCTGCTTGGCTCCAATCAGTAGCAAGAGCCAAAGGCCGGTCAGAGTGTTAGTGCTGACCTCTCGGGGAGAGTCTAGGTTGTAAAAGCTTTTTAAACTCCTTAATTTTGCATTAATGAGAATAAACATCCTTTTAATACTAAAACCCTTCCCAGAGAGGACAGCAGAGATCTAATGATTGTGGTCTGGTCACACGCCTTCCCTTCTGCCCATCTCCTGGACTCTGTAACAGCCACACAAACCATTATCCATATGGGTGGAGAGAGCTTCTTAATATTTCATGGAGCCCGCCTGCCCACCTACTTGGTTTGGTTTCTGTTTATGGGGAGGAGGAGAGCCACCATTTGAACCATGATGATAACCCGCTTAGCGGAGCAAGTGAAATCCTATTTGAGATCAAGTTGTTCTGCTTTTAACAGTGGCCATAATTTGGTTTGATTTCAGAATCTGCAATACTTGAGGCTCCATGCTGGGCCCCACAGGAGACATAGGAATGGGGATTCAGCCCTCCTCTGCCAGGGCTCACTCAAGGCGGTCAGCACAGACGGACACCAGCAACCTGAGCAGAGAGCTAAGTGCCTCCATGAGGGCACAGGCGAGCCCACTGGAGGAGAGGAGAGGGAGTGACTAGTGTCTTTTGAGAGGCCTGTGGTTATGCCAGTTTCCACATTCCATTTTCAGGCTCAGTAATGGCAGGAGACAAGTGGGGATCATAAAACCAAGCTAAAAGGCCAGCAGCAGGCAGGGAGAAAATTTTCACTAGTGTATAGTAGGCAAAGGATGAAGCTGGGGGCCTATGAAGAATGAGTAACAAAGAAAGGACCAATGGCCCTGTGGACTAATGGGCAAAGGAAACCAATAAGCAGATGCTAGAAGAGAAAGTACAAATAGCTAATAAGCACTTGAAAAGATGCTCAGTGTCACTATTAATTAGGGAAATGCAGATGACAATAACAGTGAGAAATCATTTTTATACTCATTGGGTTGTAAGAAATCAGTTTAAGAATGTCAAGAGTTGGCAAACGGGGTGGAAAATCGGTTTTTTAAAATACTGTTCCCAGGGGTTTCCCTGAACACCGGTTTGATCCCTGATCTGGGAAGATCCCACATACCTGCCAGCACGTAAGTCTGTGAGCCAGAACTGTTGAGCCTGTGCTCTAGAGCTCTTATCACACATATGTTGTAAGGCTAATATGTAGAATAAATAAATTAATATTTTGAAAGTGCTTTGAACAATCCCTGGTACATGGTAAGAACTCTGTTTTATAGTACAGACAAAATAAAAATGATAGTCCTAGAAGTTTTTTAAAAAGGGTCAAAAGAGTTTTGGAAGCAGATAAAAGGGTTGAAAAAAAAAACAGCTGCAGATGTCCAGTTTTAGTGTAGGGGTTAGACTCCCTGTTATAAGCAGAAATGTGGCTTTGAGGGTAGATTACCCTAAGGGGGGCCATCCCATTGCCCGCTTACTCCTATTTTCCAAGTGAAACTTAAAAAGGTTCAGGTACATACATTTGTGACCACCTCCCTGCTCTACTTCTTTTTCTTTTTTTAAAAATAACTTTTATTGGAGTGTAGTTGATTTACAATGCAGCAAAGTAAATCAGTGATCCATATACCTATACCACTCTTTTCTGGATTCTTTTCCCATATAGATAATTACAGAGTTTTGAGTGGAGTTTCCTGTGCTATACAGTAGGTCCTTATTAGTTATCTGTTTTTTAAAAATAAAAATCTTGTTTATTTGTTTGGCTGCCCAGGGTCTTTGTTGTGACACGCAGGATCTTTGATCTTTGTTGTGGCATGCGGAATCTTTTTTTTTTTTTTTTGTCTAAAAGACAATTCACTGTACACATTTTATTTACAGTTTTGTACACTGTCTTAATATGAATGGGACTGCTTTTCTACTTGAGTCAATTTTTTAATCAAAGCAAAATAACCTAAGTAATACAAAGTGTTAAAATACAGCATAAAGATACAAAAACAGACATACTAATTAGGAATGTAATTATGATGTTACATTTTTCATAATCCACAATTAAGTTTAGGAAATCACACAAACATAGATCACTGATTTGAATGAAATGCATAAATTTGTAGCAAAGCGTTGTAGTTTAAGTTACAAAAAAAAAATTACCAAAGAATGCACAAAATTAATGTTTATTCCACCTTTGTGTCATATTCCTGGATCCTTCACCAATGTTACATGAGAAAGAAAAACTAAAGCAAAACAAATGAAAAACTGAAATCAGAATCACTAATGTTATCAAGTAGGGAAACAAATAAATTAAAATCTAGCAGCCATCAGCAAGAATACAGCACAGATAATGCTGTAAAAAGAAACAAAGAAAATTGCCAGAAAACTGTATGCATCATACTCTTTCAAACCAGCAAAATATGCTCCTGCATACAATGGAACGTAAACAAAATCATTCTCTTGTAAGGTATAGAAATGCAAGTTCTTCTTTTTTTAATATTGTAGATGGGTCAAATGTGTTTGTAATGGTTATTTCTATTAAGCTATTACAGAGTGGGCCAGGAACACATTTCTGGATTCTGGGGATGATGTGTATTGTAATTCTTTGATTGGGATAGTGGACACTCTAGTCAAAAAAAAAAAAAAGAAAATATGAACACAGAAGTACAAGACAAAGGTGAATGAGACTTCTCTTATATCTTAGCAACATTTGGATGGAAATCAAATTTGAATGCAGTCCACTCTGCTTTTGAAGAGGCTTTGGTTCAGCTCCCAAATCTCGATTGCTTGACGCAGTCTCCTATGAGAATACTCAGAAGGTGTCTTCTTAAACAACAAACCTATTTTTAGTGGTGGAGCCGCTCTTAGTAGCTGTGTCTGCATGGGACTGATAACCAATCACTATCTTTGGAGGAAGTCCTAACCTTCCCTTGTGTACCCTCCCCATATGTGTAACAGCTTCTCTGTTTTCACATTCAGTAGTCCATATTGCTATTTTATCACCTTTAGCTCTAACGTTAACAACAGCTCCACATACATCATCACTGTAGTCATCAAAAGATTCTCCAATAAGGCACAGCAGTGTCTCTAGCCAAAAACGGTCGAGGTCACCTCGTCTCTGCTGTTTGTTCAGTGTAATTAGCCATCGTCCTCCTCATTTGTTTTTCTCATCTTGCCACATAGGCTCAATACCATCCTTAAAAAGTGAGTAGTCACAGCCAGGCATTAAATTACTAGACAACTGGATATGGTTGTAAAGAGCCCCAAAGTCTTCAACAGTATCAAACTTAGAGATCAATCAAAGGTTTGCTTGCCAAGTTTTGCTTTTATCATTTTTAAAAAACCAGAGTGCCCATCTGTTCTGTAAAGGGTGTTTAATATAGGGTTCTGGGTTAGCAACCTCCTGATTAGATTCTGTTTTCTCTTCCTCTGTAGGCGGGGGATTCGGAGTGGGGGTGGTTTCCGGTTCCACAGTCGTCATCTTAGATCGATCTGCCATGCAGAATCTTTAATTCCGCATGTGGGATCTAGTTCCCTGACCAGGGGTCGAACCCAGGCCCCCTGCTTTGGGAGCATGGAGTCTTAGCCACTGGACCACCAGGGAAGTCCCCAGTTATTGGTTTTATATATAATAGTTTGTATTTGTCCATCCTGACCTCCCAATTTATCCCTCCCCTCCTCCTCTGTAACTATATTTGTTTTCCCCATCTGTGACTCTATTTCTGTTTTTTAAATAAGTTCATGGGTACCATTTTTTTTTAGATTCCACATATAAGGGCTGTCATATGATACTTGTCCTTCTGTGCCTGACTGACTTCACTCACTGTAACCATCTCTAGGTACATCCACTCTCTGCTCTTCCGGGTCCTGGCCAGGACCCCTGTGTGTGAATAAAGCATTGTCATGGGTGATAAAGTCCGTCCTGTAACCTCACTAGCAGGGTCGTCTCAAGGACATGCTGCTGCCCATCAGTTGCCCTATTCTCCTTTTTTGGTCATCTTCCTTCCAGGCTGTGCATGGACAGAGGGAGGGGCCACCCCTGTGTTCGAGCCTAGAGCTGTGAGCCACCTGGTCACGTGGCAGGATGGCCGGTGTAGCAGCGAGTTCCTGGCTTCTCTGCCGCAGCCGGAGTCCCATCTCAGCGTGGCCACGGGGTTTGGCTGTGCAACCATCTTCTGGCTTTTGAAAAATAGGTACGGACGACTGTTCTTTGAATCAGATGATGGATTTTCAGGGGAATGAGAGCAGCTAGCTGATGGCTCAGTGGGTAAAGAATCCACCTGCAGTGTAGGAGGCACAGGAGACGTGGGTTTGATCCCTGAGTCCGGGAAGACCCCCTGGAGAAGGACATAGCAACCAGTCCAGCATTCTTTCCTGGAAAACCCCATGGACAGAGGACCCTTGGGGGCTACAGTCCATGGGGTTGCAAAGAGTCAGACACAGCTGAGCCCAAGCACTATGATTTTGATGCAGGAGAGTGGCTAGGGAGCTGTACCTCTAGCCGGCCATCATCACTCCACATTGGACTGTCCCTTAGTGAGCGTGGCCCTGTATAGGATATAGTCTCAAGACCTAGACTTGGAACCACTGCTTCTTCATTTTGCAGAGGGGGCTTGTTGGTTATCTGATTCTAACCCAGAGGGGAAAAGAAGGGGCCAGAGAGGGTAAGGGAGTTGCCGATGGTCACATGATGGGTTCATAGTGGGGTCAGGACTGCTCAGAATGGTTGATGTCCTGCTTTCCCAGGCATGATGTGTCCTCCTGTGATTACCCTCCCCTAAGGCTGACTCCGGCCAGCTTGGTGTGGAGGTGTTTGGAGGTCCTCACCTTAGGAAGTTCAGCTGTGGGATTCTGGTTGCTGCCCAGTTATGCCATGTCTAGTCCACACCACCCTCAGTTAGCTGTGGCTCATGCCTTTCAATCAATATTAAACCACGCTGAATTGTTTTGGGTGTGACAAACAGCCCGGACTTCCTCAAGTCCTACGATACAGCTGGCACCATCCATGACTATGTGGTTGCCATGCTGTGCGGCTTGGCAAGACCCTTGATGTCCGACCAGAATGCTGCTAGCTGGGGCTATTTCAACACCAGGAGCCAAAGCTGGAACTTGGAGATGTGAGTATAACCTTGAAGGCTGGCTTGAGGCTGAAAGGTAGAATCTCTGAAGTGGGAGCTTCAGTGGGGCATTCCCATCTGGGGATAGTGGAGGATGCCACGAGGCCAAGAATCAGGTTCCAACAGACCCCAGTCTGTTCCAGCCCCTGGGCATGGGTGGGCCTGACCGTAAGTGAAGTCCTTGGGGGGGCGGTGCTGCCACCACGCCATGCTTTCCTGCTCCTCCACTGTTGCCTGGGCCTGGGGTGCACTCAATTCTTTCTGAATCCTGGACCCAGCCCATAGATGCTAAACAACAACTTTCATTTTTAAATACATTTTATCTTATTTTTTTAAATTTTTCTATTCTATATTGGAGTATAGTTGATTAACAATGTGTTAATTTCAGGTGTGCAACAAAGTGATTCAGTTATACAAAAACATGTATCTATTTTTTCTTCAAATTATTTTCCCATTTAGGTTGTTACGTAACATTGAGCAGAGTTCTCTGTGCTGTGCAGTCGGTCCTTGTTGGTTTTTCATTTTATTTTATTTATTTTTTGAAGTAGAAAAGGATAGCTTTATTGCTTTGTCAGGCAAAGGGGTACACGGCAGGCTCCTGACCGTGAAAATTGTGTGTCCCCCAGTTATCCATTTTAAAAATAACTGTGTGTACATGTCCATCCCAAACTCCCTAACTATCCCTCCTCACCACCATTTTATATATATATAATGACACAAACCTCTAAAAGCATTTCATTTATTTATTTTTTAATCTTTAATTCCTTTTAATAATGGTTTGTATGCATAGAGTTGTACATCTTTTACTAAATTTATCGTAGATATTTGACTGTTTTTGATAATATTTTAAATGCATTTTCTTTTTTTAAATTAATTTTTATTATAATATATTTAAGAGCAGGGTTAAGAAATGGAAGGAGTAGGCTTGAGGGATACCTTTTAAGTTCTTTTGAAACAATCATTTGCCTTTTCAGGTCCAGAGGTCCATAAAAATTCACTTCCTCCAGCCCCCAAATTCTGAGCCCTGTAATAAAACAAAAAGCGCCTGGTAGTTCAGGTAAAGGACTTTCCAGCATGTTTTATGAAATTGACAGCCCCGTGTTCACTAACCCTGAGTGGTGACTACGTTTGGTGTTCAGGAGACTGATGGGTTTGACTTTGGTTTGGCCTGTGCTAACCAACTGTGCCTTGGCTCTAAAACTCTGCCTGACCCCCTTTGCAGAGTGTTTGTGTGCCCCTCAAACACAGGAGGGCAGATGCTGATCTGCTTCTTAGCCAATCCTTTCCGATCACCTCTGCTTAAACTGGTTGTGTTCTTCCTTGGAAGGCCCATCCCAAACTCTTGAAAGCCAGTGTTCACTCTAAAAAACTCAAGACATCTCATGGTTTTAAAAAAAGGCAAAAGGGCCCTCTGTACAAACACTGGATTCTGCCCTCTTCTTGAACGTGTGTCTCAGAGCACTTTCCTTTGCTCAGTTTCCTGGAAGCAACAGGAGATGGAAGACCCAGCACCAGGTAGATAGGCTGTCCACTTTCGATTTGCAGATTGGGGGCCGCCGGCTTTCCCGTCCAGCTGCTCCCAGACGTGGCGGAGCCTGGCAGCGTGGCAGGAAGAACTTTGCAGGCCTGGTTTGAGATCCCAAGGGGGACGCAGGTGGGCGTGGCCTTGGGTGATTTGCAGGCCTCAGTCTATTCCTGCATGGCCCAAAAGACCGATGCAGGTAAGTCTTTCTTTGGTTCTCTCCTCAGACTCTACCGGGGACTCATAAGCCTCAGCTCTGTGTGAGGGTCCGAGGGGCACACATAACCAGCCGTCTCAGTGTCCTCTTGACCATTGTCCTGCAAACATGAAAAATACCTTCGGGGCTTCCCTGGTGGTCCAGTGGTTAAGACTCAGAGCGCCCAATACAGGGGGCCCAGGTTTGGTCCCTGATCAGGGAACTAGATCCTGCATGTTGCAACTAAGAGCCCACAGGCCGCAATACAGTCCAATAAAAAACAAAAGAAACAAATGGAAAACCCCACCATCATCCCTACAGGTGAAGCCCCTGCCCAGGGAGCTTATCATCTAGCAGAACGAGCTGAGCCCTGAGCACGGCCAGTGCCTTTCTTTTCTAGGGCCAGGTGAGGAAAATGACTCTCTTTAGTTGGCTGGTTTCTGTGTGTCTCCATGACCAAGGAAACAGATGAGTAGATTAGGGTTTTTGTTACTGTGTGTGTGTCAATGAAAGTTCTCTTGGATCTGATTAGAAGTGCAAATATTCCTGTATTTGGTGTGAGAGAGTCACAGAGAGGTGGAGGCTGCCCTCCATGGCAGGGGTTGGCAAAGTTTTCCTGTAAAGGGCCAGGTAGTAAATATTTCAGGCTTTGTGGGCCATTTAGTTTCTGCCACAACTACTTACCTGCTGTTGGGGCAGAAAAGCAGCCTTAGCTAATGCATAAGTGAGTGGGTGTAGCTGTGTTCCAATAAAACTTTATTTATAGAGGCTGAAATGTGAATTTCATAAAATTTTCATGTCTCATGAAATAGTCGTCTCCTTTTCATTTCTTTTCAACCATTTAAAAAGGTAAGAATATCCCACTGGAGTTGTAAAATGGTGCAGTCCATCCTAAAGCAGATCAGTCCTGGGTGTTCACTGGAAGGACTGATGTTGAAGATGAAACTCCAATAGTTTGGCCATCTGATATGAAGAGTTGATTCATTTGAAAAGACCCTGATGCTGGGAAAGATTGAGGGCAGGAGGAGAAGGGGACGACAGAGGATGAGATGGTTGGATGGCATCACCAACTCAATGGACATGGGTTTGGGTAGACTCCGGCAGTTGGTAATGGACAGGGAGGCCTGGCGTGCTGCAGTTCATGGGGTCGCAAAGAGTCAGACATGACTGAGTGACTGAACTGAACTTTGGAAAACAGTCTGACAGTTCTCCGAAAGTTAAGCATGGAATTACCGTGACCCAGCAATTCCACTCCTTGGCGTATACCCAAGGGATTTGAAAACACGTGTCCACACAAAAATTTCTACACAATTTTTCCTCGTAGCTGTATTCATAATAGCCAAAAGTCAGAAACAACCCAAATGTCCATCAACTGATAAGTGAATTTTTAAAATGTGGTATATCCACAGAGATAACATGGTACAACATGGGAAGGGAAGTGAAGGCCACATAGTGTATGATTCCATTCCTGGGAAATGTCCAGAATTGAATAGGCAAATTCATGGAGACAGAAAGAGGGTTCATGGTTGTCAAGAGCTGGGAGTGTGGGTTGATTGCTAACCTGTAAGGGATTTCTTTCCAGAGTGGTAAAAATGTCCTAAAATTAGATCACAGTGATGTTTACCTGTGTATATACTATATACAGTGTATATAGTGAATATACTAGAAAGCACAGAACTATACACTTGAAAAGGGTGTGTTTTATGGTGAATTTGTTTGAATTATAATACATCTCAATAAACTTATCATTAAAAATGATATATGTACAAAAGCCACTCTTAGCTCCTAGGCCATATAAAAACATATGGCCAGGCTGGATATGGTGTGGAGGCTGTCATTTGCCCCTCCTGGGGTGGAGTAGACCTTGGACTTTGGGCCTGCCTGCCCCAGCAAGGTGGTTGCAGACTGTGTGTTTCATTTGATCCTCAGGGCAACCAGGCTGAGTGGGCCCACTTTGAGAGCCCTGCCTTGTTATCAAGGGGAACAGAGAATTCATTCATCTTACTTGGGTTTTCTTTGTCATCACATCTTTTTTGCTCCGTCAGTTGGATCTATTACAATTCAAACTTCAGTTTAAAAACTGATCAGTACTATCCTTTGTTGTTGCTGTTGTTTAGTTGCTAAGTCATATCTGATTCTTTGCAACCCCATGGACTGTAGCCCTCTAGGGTCCTCTGTCCATGGGATTCTCCAGGCAAGGGTACTGGAGTAGGTGGTTCCATTTTTTTCTCCAGGGGCTCTTCCTGACCCAGGGATAGAAGCTGTGTCTCTTATGTCTCCTGTATTGGCAGGCAGGCTTTTTTTTTTTTTTGCCACTAGTGCCACCTGGGAAGTCCAGTTGATTTATTTCAATTAGTCTCTGCCTCCTGAAAGGAGGAGTATCCAGAAATTTGTGACATACTTCCGCAGCCCCATTATGACTTGTGGCCTCTGAGTTAGCCCAACAGGCCTAACTTCTGCTTTCCTCGGACCCCAGTTCTCAACATCAGCACCTCGGTTCAGCTGGTAGCCTCCATGCCTTCAGGATTCCAGCCAGTGCAGACTCCAGACCCCGCAGCCCCAGTTGCCTACTTCCCATACTTTGACAGGACTTACCTGGCTGTGGCAGCGTCACTCAATGGGGGCAACGTGCTGGCCACGTTTGTCCACATGCTGGTCCAGTGGATGGCGGATCTAGGTAAGGGTGGTCCACTCAGGGCTGTGTTCTCTGCTTGTCCGTTCTGTGTGGCAGTGTTCTGGTGCTGAATGTGCAATAAGCTTCTAGATTCATGTCTCAGACTCAACCAGATTCTGGCACATTCCTTTCTTCTGTAGGGTTCTGAGCTGGCAGCCTTCTTTACTCTCATCTTCTGAGCTGCCATTGCCTACTCTCTTTTGAGAGTACTACTTCTAACCTTGACTGCCAAGTATCCAGATAGTTTGCCAGCTCTCTCTCACCCCACTGGGTTACTTTCTAGGTCAATAAGCCTCTGGGTCCCATGTATTTGAGATTTGCCTTATTTCTTTTTTTCCTTATTTATTTGGCTGCATTGGGTCTTAGTTGCAGCACATGAGAGTTAAATGTGTTACTGATGAGACTCTACAGTGGCTTTTGGTTGGAGGTTCTCAGCACTGGAAATACTGTCCTAGTTTTATCCCTAGAAATGCTGAGTATTTGACTTGGGGAAGGGGGAGCCTGAGCATGGGATTTTGTAAAAGTTCCTCAAGTGGGACTTCCTTGGTGGTCCAGTGTCTGAGACTCTGCACTCCCAATGCAGGGGACCCAGGTTCAATCCCTGGTCAGAGAATTAGATCCCACATGCTGTCATAACTAAGAGTTTGCATGTCACAACAAAGATTGAAGATCCCACGTGCTGCAACTAAGACTGGGCACAGCCAAATAAGTGAATAAAAAATATTTTTAAAAGTTCCCCAGGTGATTCTGATGCTCTCACGTGGTGGTAAGCACTGATCTAGAACCTTCTACTCAAAAAGCGTGGTCCTCAGGTCAGCTGCACTGGCTTCCTCTGTGAGCTGAGGTCAAATGCAGAAGCTGAGGCCCCATCCCAGGAACAGTGAGCCAGAAGCTGTATTTTAATAAGATCCTTGAGTGATTCAGAACTCCAAGCTCTGGTCTAGATTGGTGGTTCTCAACCTTTGCCAAGGGGCAGGCTAGACTGTGGTCCTGGGATTTCTCTGACATCGCTAATAAGTCTAATAGCAGCTGTGATGATATTTACTGATCAGTGTATGCATTTGGCCCACTTGGGACCAAGCATCCCACAGCTGTGGGATGGTTAGGACTCACACAGCATACAAGATCTCTCCCTGAAGGCTGGGTTGGGGTGGGCAGTAAGAGAGCTGGCTGGGGTCTGGGGCTGAGCACAGTCAGCCAGACTGTGTGAGTTCTGAGCCAGGAAGCAGCCCCCTACAGTGAGGAGGGGCAGCAAGTCAACCCATTCCTGCCCCTCTGGGAACGCTATAGCCTGCAGCGAGGGGGTGCCTGAACTCACACAGACCTTCTCTGTCCCTGGCAGGCCTGGAAGTTGAAGAATCCATGGTGTATTCAGGCATGATCCAGGCAGCTGCCCAGCAGAGAGACACCTGCCTGACCATCACTCCAACAGTGCTGGGCGAGAGGCATCTGCCGGACCAGCTGGCCTCAGTGACTGGAATCTCCTCCTCTGACCTCTCCCTGGGACATGTGACCCGGGCCCTGTGCAGAGGCATCATTCAGAACCTGTATTCAATGCTTCCATTTCAGCAGCTCCGGGAGTGGGGCGTGCAGCGGGTGATTGGAAGCGGGAGTGCGCTGTCCAGGAACGAAGTGCTGAAGCAGGAGGTGCAGAGGGCGTTCCCTCTGCCGGTGTCCTATGGACAGGATGTAGATGCAGCTGTGGGGGCCGCTCTGGTCATGCTCCAGAGAAGCCTTAGCCAGCAGAAATCCTAGCACATTTGTTGGCCAGAGGACTGTTGCAAATTTTTTCTAATTAACGTCCCTGACCCGATCTTGGGGGTCACCCTTTTCCTGGACAGCTCTGTGGGCAGCTTTTAAGCAATGCTTGTTCTTGGGGCCTCAAGAGTCAGCCTTTGGGGCACACACTCATAATGCAGCCAGGAATCATCAACCAGATCCCAAATCAGTGCCTTCTGAAAGAAACTCACCTGAGAGCCTGTTGCAAATGTAAATGTGAGAGAGAGAGAGAAAGAAGGAAGGAAGGAAAGAGAAAGAGAGAAGGAAAAGGGATGGTAACCCAGCATCTTGGTCAACAGGGTCACCTGTGATTCATCTGTAGACAAAATAAATGTGGGCTTCAGACACAAAAATATAGTCTGGTGGCTGTGGGCTCCAACTAAGAACACCCCATCCTATGTTCTCACAAAACAGCTGGTTGAAGGCACAGAAGAGGGAAGGAAAGGTGGATGACGTGACCAGCAAGGGGGACAGATGCTGTATAGCCCACCATTCAGGCATATTGTTCCCAAGAGTCTGGCCAGGCAGCAGAAAGACCCTTGTCTAGGAGTGTGTCTGTTCAGCAGTGTGTTTTTGCCCCTGCACATCCCCAGGAGGCCTTCCAAGGGGAGGGATGCAGCTGCATGTGCTCCTGCCAGAGAGAAAGCAGAGAGAACCCCTTGTCCTGATGCCCCAGGCTGGTGCTGCTGCAGAACTGGGTCTGGGAGGTTGGACATGGCTCTGGGAATCATTTGTAGGTTGTCCCATGCAAAGCCCTGCCTGCCCCACAGTTCTACTGAGACACGTGGCTGGGGATCACTTGGGAAAGTAGTGGAATTTTTCTCTCGGCCTGAATGAGTCAACACCATCATTTTGAGAGAGAAGGCACCTTGGGATGTACCAAAAGATAGCAAAAGCCCTGTCCATCGGGAGGAGCTGACGTCAGGAAGGTGGCCTGTCTTGCATTCCCAGAATTCTTGGGGTGGACACTGTAAATATAGGATCAGGAGCTGGATAGGTGTCCTGCAAAGCACTGAAACTCTGTCCCCTTTCTGCATGTCCACTGTATCTCTCAGGGCTGAGCCTTGCACAGTCCAAGCTTGTTAGCTAGCCGTTCTGCTGCTGTTTCTATTGCCAGTGGCCTGGAGCCTCTGCAGTAGTTTGGGTACAGCTTCTCGGGCCTCATTTCTCCAGTATGAAGTAATAAACCACTCACTTCTGTTCCCATGCTTAGGAGGTACCAGCCTGAGCCTCAGCTGAGAAACTGGGTCATTAGTGCTGCTTTCCAGCATCCTGATCTTAAACACAAAGTAGGCTTGGACTTTCCCACCTGATTGGTTTCAGTCAGTGAAACATCAACAGAAGTGATAGCTTATGGTGAATGATGTCGATGTCGGATTTGTGATCTCTGAAGAAGATTTATTTTCAGGACCAGGGACCAGGCTTGATCACTCAAGAGATTTTGTATAGCAGAGTTTTATTACAGTGAAAAGGGACAGAGAAGTCTTCTGAAATAGACATCAGAAGGGGGATGGAGAGTTCCCCCCGTGCTAGTCTTAGGAAGAGAGTTATATACTTTTTCAGTTGGTTATTGCAGTAAACCAAAAGAATGTGTCAAGTTTGTAGACCCACTCCCACAATACACATTTTAAGATAACAAGATTAGAACTAACCATAGGAAGATCTTACCAGACCCATTCCCATCATACACATTTTAAGATGACAGGATTAGTCTGAAGGTTCTCAAGAAGGAGAAATATGTCCTCAAGCAGGATACATTGTTGTCATATTGGTACAGAGTCATACATTGGTACAGAGTTTAAGGGAAAACATATACTTGAGCAAGATGAGTTGTTTTATTGTGTAATCATCAGCTCTGGGCTTAAAGAAAAAAGCATTTGTCTTTTTCTCCTCCTTGAGAACTCCAGACCCCTACCTCAAGAGCCCCAGGCCCCTTTTCCTCCTCAGGGACCCCAGACTTATAAACCTACCTAGGAATTGACTCTTTCATTCCCCTCTTTTCTTTTAGGAGAATTATATTGCCAAGGGGAAGGGGCATCATTTTCATCCCATAACCACTTCCTGCTGTTGAGGAGCATCATCCCTAAATTGTTGAGGCAACATATTCTCCTAACTCTCATATTGAGGGTCTCTTACCCAGGGGCCTCAAGTAACAGTTGGAGGAGGTTGTGGCACTTGTAGGAGCTTGAACAACCATTTGTAACCTAAAAGCTTTCAGATGGTTAGAAACAAACCCCATTTTACAGTTACAGATGTAAGGCAAAAGAGTAATTAAACCAAATTAAAACATAATCAAAATTAAAAGTAACATTATGTCCATAATTAAGGTACAATATGTTATACCAGTCCATCTTAGGATCATTAGATATCATCAGATCAAGTAGAGCATCACATATGATTGTTGTTGGTGAAGGTATTCGCAGAGTTGAAGAACGTCCTTTACCTGAAGTAGAGAAACCCACCATGGGAAGCCTGCAATTGATGAGGATGTTGAAAAGCTGAAAGCTGAGTCACATGGTTAATTCTAAAGCTTCAGGATATATGACAATATCTGTGTGTAAAAACAGTCTGTCATAGAGACAGTTCCTTCTTGGGACAGTTCAAGCCCTCATTAAAGCTATGGGTAAAACTTTAAACCAACTGTCTTGTGTTTCCTGAGTTAGCTTACGCAGATGCCTCTTAATAATGTCATTAGCCTTTTCAACTTTTTCTGAAGATTGGGGTCTCCAGGAACAGTGTAGGTGATATTCCATTCCTAGAACTTTCGACACCCCTTGACTTACAGCAGCTTTAAAGGTGGACCATTGCCACTCTGAACTTTAGAGTTTAAGATCCCACTTACACCATGAGTAAGATTTCACCCATTCCTTAACCTCAGGCTTTAGTGGACACTGCTTTTGACGTGGAAATAAGTGAGGGTTGTTGAGCTTGATAACAACAGGAACAGTATTTTGTGCTTGACTCAGTTTTTTCATCAGCCCAAACTTTTGCATTTTGTTCAGTTAGAAAGAGAGGGTTCCGTATTCATGAAAACAGAGGTCTGGACCCGGAAGGGGTGAGGGAGACTCTGGCACAATGAGAAAACAGCAGAGAGTCCCAGTTTCAGCTTAAGGGACAACTGAAATAATAGCGTTTAGCTCATCCAGACAGTCCCATTATGGTAGTGGATCGGGAGGAAAGTGGGCCAGGGGCTTCAGTGAGCACAGAGAAAGTTGCCCCAGTGTCCAAAAGAAAACTGACTGATTGTTCCCCCACAGTTTATTAATAGCTGGGGCTCCTCAGGTGTTATTAGGACAGGGACTTGTGTGGGGATCCCTGGGCACCTTCAGTCTTGATTGTCCTGAGAGTCTGACCCCTGGGGCCTATGCCTCAGAGGGCAATCTCTTCTCAGGTGTGGCCCTTTACAGACCGGACATGGACATGAGGGGCTTAGATGCCTGAAGGCAATCCTGCTTAAGATGCCCCTCCTTTCCACAGTAATAACAAGCCTGCCCCTTTTCACCTGGGTTCCTCTGGGCATTTTTCTCAGGCTGTTTCAGAGTGGATTTAACAGCCATTGTTGGGGCTTCAGTCTTTTGCCTGGTTCTTTTTTTCCTCCTCATATTCTCTACCATAATATACCATCTGAGCCAGCTGCAACAGCTTTCTAAAGACTGATTTAGTCCAAATGCCTATTTTAATAGCTCGCACCAGATATCTGGAGCTGACTGAGTGAGAAATATATCTTTTAAGATTATTCCTCCTTCTGCATTTTCAGGATCAACATCAGTAAACTTTCAGAGAACCTCCCATAGTCTATCTAGGAATTTACCAGGAGTTTCCTTCTCTCCCTATTCTATGTCAGCCAACTTAGCATAGTCTAAAGTCCTAGCACACCCTCGCTTGAGTCCTTCAAGAATACATCTGATGAAGTGACCCTGATCTTACCTTCCTTTAACCATGTTATAGTCTCAGTCTAGCACTGTTATGGGAACCGCGTGGCTTCCAGTAGGGAGGAGGGCTATTTCATGTTCCCTCTTTCCCCTGTCTCACGTTCAAGCCATTCATCTCCCAAAATAGTAGCTTCCCCCAAAATTCAAGTTCTCGAGTCAGGAGTCAGCATCGTCCCAAGACATGCATTATATCTCTCCAATAAGATCATGAAGTAAAGTTAGTCCTGTAAAGGCTTCTATGTACCCTTTGGATTCTCTAAATAGTCTCGTCCACAATTGGGACTGTTTGAATTTCTACCTAGACTGAGGCAACCCCTCCTGAAAGGCTGCCCTGACTCTCAGCCTGTTCAGTTGGGAGCCCCAGATACAGGGGCAAAATAAGAGAACAGGAGGCAGCAGAAGTTTTCACACCCAACTCTGTACCCTTAGGACACAAGTCTGGCATGTCTCACAGAGAGATAAAGAGCAACACACTTGGCACTTCTACCCATTTCTCTTCTTTTCTACAGAACTGGTCTAATTGTTAAACAGTATTGTAATTGAGATCCTTCAACAGGCCAGCATTCCCCATCCTCCAGAGACTACTGTGGCCATTCAGATCACAGAAGAAGATCAGGCATGTCTTTTTAAATTCTGGGAATCGAACTTGTCCCAGTTTTTAAAAAAATACATTTTTTAAAGAGTGGTTCTGGAACTGCTAGCTCCTATCTGTGAGAGAGAAAAGTGGCATCCACAGCCATGGTTTCTGGAGGTGTCCCTCCCTGCACTAGATGGGGGTGTAGACATGCTTTCCACCAAAGCTTTCCTCCCCCGGTCAGATTTAGCCTGTCCCTTACTGACACAGGTGACTTACCTGTTCCTCCTGGTTCTACCACCGAAGCAGGGTGGAGATGCACCAGGCATCAGGAGATGAACAGGTGGCATCCCAGATTGATTTATAGTTTCTTACCACCAAGACCTTTGTTTGATTTGCCCTTTTCCTTTGATGCCACCCAGGGTGGAGCAGAGTAATTTTCTGGAATGTTTCCCAAGCTAGGACTGTGA